ATATCTTCATTATTCTCCCTACAACATTTATCTTTATACTCTAAGAAAACAGACTTATCTACCTCCTGAAATCCCTCCATTACTTAATTTCAAACCTCCTAATAATAAACTGACTGACTCATTTATGAGGTATGGTCAATGGATAGGTCCGTTTTGTTTTTAATATTTTTTATTTAAAAATATTGGCACCTTTACCCTGTTTCAAAAGAAATATTAGCCTAGTACCCATGTATTGTACATAGGGGATTACCAAACCTAGCAATAACTTCAACCAGTAATGTGATTAAAAGTTTCAAGTTCCAAAAGTTTGTCAGTGCTATCAGTACAGCTCTCATACTAATTCTGGACTATTGTTTACCCAATGAGGTGGGTGAAAGTGGGAGGAGGGTCCAGAGAGTTGGAGTGCAAATTTTATAAATTCTCTAGACCGATAATTGAACCATATTCAATTTTTTTTAAATTCTAAAAGGAGGGATCATGCGTTGTGCATTTAATATCAATGGGGGGGGCGGGGGAAGTTATGTTATTGCAAAATACTAAGAAGAGGTCTCTACTAATATGGAAGAAATAGGGCAGGTAGGTCTTGGCCCAATTAGAGCAATTAGGCATTGGCCATTTTTGTCAATTTTAAGGCTGAGGAGCTATGTCCTGGCTGCTATACTTTCATTACCTTTCACGGGGTGAAGGAAGGGGTAGGGTACACCTGTCAGGCACCTACAATGTATTATTGGGATCCAGTATGCCCACTTTTTAGGTCACGAAGTTAAGCATTTTTTGAGCTTTTCTGATGGTTTTTCCCAAATGTGCTATTTGACATAAAGGTTTAAAATGTATTTTTTATTGCTGGTGACTAAGATCCTGTATCTGGGCTGTTTCCTCTTACATGAGGTTGTGGAAGACTGATGAGAAAGACTCCTGATTATTACTGGACTCCAGCTTAACTCAACTAGAATCTAAATTGGAATCTTGCAGCCAGAGACCCCCAATAGAGTTGCTGCTTGATCGAATTAAATCATATGATCATTGGAACACCAATAGACCTCCTATACTATTTGAAGACTGAAATAAACCAACAAACATGTTGAATATATTGCATGTTTGTGTGTATTTGAGTTAACTTTTCTGTTATTAATGCGCCTATTTTAATATTTTCATGTAGGGCCTTTTAAAACCGTGAACCACTCTCGGTATCTATAATTAAGATTCATAGTTACAAAACTGAATTATCTTCAAATATGTCAAATATCATAAAATGGAACACAATAAAATGTATGTGAGAGTGGAAATGTTCAAATTTATCACTAAGGATCACGGTTTGGAGATTTATAGACCTGATACTATTGATAATCAGTGTAGATAGCTGGAGACCTTTGGCAGCCAGTATAATTTATGCTTACTTGTATAAAATCTCTCAAAAGATTTACCACTTTAAACGAAGAAACACAATTGATCTATCCGAGTATTAATATAGTTTCCAATTTCAAATATTAACATTGGAAATTAGAATTAATAATTAACTCTCATGTTGATGATAACATCATTAGGACTGACATGCAAAAATGCAAAAGCGCTGATCACTAAATGTTTCAATACATTTTGCTAGCAGAGGACCATTACACGTAGAGATACAGACTTATTTGCATTGTTTTACAGTGAGTCTACCTGCCTTATGCTGCACCATATCCCAAAAACGTTTGTCACTTTCCCCATTCCTGTTTTTATTTTTTGTTTTGCCATAACACCTTTTCTGTGTCTCCTCCCACTCTCCATATGTGTTTCCCTAAATATGTACAATTTTTGCCCTAACAGCCACCTTATGTGCCCTCTTGGCCCTCTTGTCCCTCTTGTCCCTCTCCATGCCACCACCCCCATTTCCTGTGTATCTCCCCATATTCCATCCTTGTACCTGGATTATTGATCAGGGCAAGGAAAATGCCTTTCCTTACGTGGCTAGTGCTGCCTGAAGTTCTTATCCCAGCTGTCACTCCGAGAGGAATGCCCCTGAATGCCCTGCTTGCTTAGCATGCCCTGGACCCAATTTTTAAATTGTAGATAATTGTAGTTAAGTTTCAATTTATATATTTTTCTTTTTCTGACTAGCATAAGGTATGGATGAAAATTTTAAGTGGTTTGGGATTTAGTTAAGAACAGGACTGTTATATTTTGAATGAAATAATTCCCATAAAAAAACTCAATTTAGCTCAAGTAGATATCACAGTATAAAAAAGAAATCATCTATAAGACAATACAAGTGTCCTTTTAGAAATGACAATCTTCTTCTTATCCTATCTCTTTAAAGCCCTAGATCCCCTGATATATGGTTTCACTGCTCAGTAGTCCCTCTGGACCTGCTCTGATTTGATGCAGTGTTTGATATTGAATTGTTGAACAGTTTTCTGGAATAGATATTGCTCGCTTTGTAGCATGTGTCTGTGTAAATCTTTCCCTTTTCTGAGATAACACACATTCATACATGTCAATCCTTGAGCATGCGCAGAGCTGTCTGGATGTGTCTATGGTCTATATTAAATGATTTGGTGAATACTGTATTGACTACAGCCTTCTTTTGAGTTTTTCTCAATTTACTTTTCTGAGATAAATAAAAGCAAAGAAGAACAAACTGTCCCACAATATTACACCAAGAAGGTACCTTATTGGTGTCACTGTTAGCCTGATAATGTGTTCCTTATACTGACTGATTTCCTGGTGTTGGTTTTGGCTTCTTTAACTGTGGTGGTTATTGGTCTCCTGTGTTCTGATTTGGGTTTGTTATACCATTTTTGTCTTTTCTGTTATCTTTACCTCAGCTGGGGTCTATTTTATCCTTGTGGGGTAAGTGCAACCATTTTAATGACTTGTATACACATATTTTCTTTATAATCCTATTTTGGCCTATTCTCTGCAGGTAAGGGATAGGTTGTTCCTAACAATTATCAGCTTCAAACTTGCATATTGTGACAGCAACTGCCCTGGGCTGCAAACAACGGGTTCCGGATTTAGTTTTTTTTGTGACAAAACCCCATTTTTTACTTCATTTTGCCTTCACAGGAGCTGTTCTTCTCCTCAGTTTGGGAATCAATTTTAACTCTGTTTTTTGCCTTTATCACATTCAGTATTATAAAGTACCGAACACCGACCACCCCCCTTGTTCATTAAGTATAAAGAAACCACAAGAATTGAGTGCTCTCTCTGTGTGGCCGCCGTTTGTATAACCAAATGCCACATGGTGGAGAAAACGCCATCTTCTCGAATGCAGGCAGCGAATGCAGGCAGCAGTACTTGGTTATCGAGTGTCTGGAAGTATAAGGACACTTTCGCTACAAGCCAGGAGAGCGCTGTTCAGTAGGTTTGTTAGTATGGACCCCATGAACAAACGCTGCCAATGAGCCAGGGGAACTGTTCATCTTTTCATGCATTTTGGAACTCCTGAACGTGATAGACCACTTTCTCTAAAACTATGGAACTATTTTGGGCAGGTGTCTTGTGAGCAATCGGTCAAAACTTCACACCGGTGGCGATTCGTCTGTGTTTTATGGAGTCTGAGTGTTTTTCGGATATGTTGGGCGCTGAGATCCAGGCTATCCAGGGATGTATAAACTATGGGGATTCCTTCATGTGCAATATAAAAATATTTTGTCATTTTAGGCTTAGTCATGGTGACATGGTATTTTGGGGACATTTTGTGGATCTGTTTATGGGAGTGTCATGGGCGTGTTTACTGTGTCCCTGTAGTATATAAAAGCAGGCCATTGAGCCTGGATTAAACAGATCATTTTACCCCTTCATTCAGTCTAGGCTAATGTTTCGGTGAGTGGGAGTTATATTCACTATTGTATCACTACTTCGCTGGGACTTGGGAGCTTCTTCACGGATATACTCAGCCTGGAGTATTATACCCTTCATCAAGACTTGACTGATGTTTGAGTATGCAAATGGCGAACTGATTGATTTTTTTCCCACGACCTTAGGATTTCGGGAGAGAAGACGAATCAGTGTACTATGTGAACGGGCTATAATCACTTAAGCCTCTACTATTTCAGGAGTATACAAACGAATGGAGTATACGAAATACATGGAGTTACATATGCCAAATTCAGTTTAAACCCTCTAACGTCACTGGCAACCAATTCATTTTCAAGAATTTAACTGTTTTCACTATTAAATACTGGGAACTTAGTGTTGTTAATTTCAACAAGTCTGACTGTATGCATTTATATATGTTCATTGTGTGAATTTTATAGTTTGACACCTTACGTGTAATACGGGATTTTTTATATATTGCCACCTATGCAGAACTTCATAATGATATACTTTTTATTAATTTTTAAAAGGCAAATTTTTCAACAGTTTATTGAAACAGTGAATTGAAAGTCAAGTCTCTAAACTGCTCATATAATACATGCAGATATTAGATAAATTATACTGTGTATATATATATGTTTTCTTCTTACCTGTGACGTTCTGCATTTGCTAATTCTCCCCTAAAGCAGTGTACCACTGCTTTAATGGGATTCCCTTACAAATTAACCATTTCGTTCTTCTATTTCAGCTAAATAATGTGCCCCTGTGTTTGCCGATTAAATGGCCACCTGTGACGTTTCATTAATATATCTATTATTCTGACTGCATTTTCCATTCATTTGTAGGTTTATATTTATGTACATGCCACAATTCAATTTGTCTGTATATAAAATTTGATTTAATAAAAGATAATGAAAATAATAAATTGTTTTGAACAGTTTGAACGTTGTACAAAGTTTCCTATTTAAAAAAAGCTAAACATTTTTTTCTTGTGAAATTGGACAAATCACTGTCCCTTTCCAATACACCAACAGCAGAGAAAATATTCATCTGAGATTGTAGAAAGACATTCAGATCCCTATCTCGTTCAAATTTTCAGAGAATACTGTACTTCCCACTGAGTCTCATTATTAGATAAAGTAAAGTTTTATTTCAAATATAATTTTATTTTTAAATAGAATATACTTAATATATACATGCCTGTACAATGCATGCCTGTACAATGGTATTGACAAAATGTAAATATTCTTTAAAAAAAAAAAAACATTCCTGCTTCATCTGTTGTGTTGGCCCATAGACCACAATTGACAAACAGTTGGAGATATGTTTGGAGATGAAGTTGTGAAGTTATAAGCAAAATTACATATTTACAACAAGGAATATGAAAGGTAAACAAACACATTTATTCACTAAAGTGAAAATTCAAAGTGAATTAAAAGTACATTTTACATTTAAGGCCAAAATACCGAAACTGGAAGCATTGCTATATTAGAAAATGTTTCTGCTTTGATGTATTTTGATCTTAAATTTGAAATTCACTTTAAATTCAAACTTTACTGAATTACTCTGTAAATACAGGGCTAACCATTTGAAGGATTGGCGGTACATTGAGCAAGAAGACACGAAGGAACGCAATTTCATTAAGACTACTTTAACGCTTACAACGCATTCTTATATCCTTCCCATGTGTTCTTAAAGGCATATTAATGTAGCTTACAGAAAAAGGCTCTGGAATGAGTTACAATGTCTTTTGAAAGGCAGAGAATTCATGTGATGGATTCCATATTTCTAAATAGAACACTGTATTTTATAGACGTTTACTGGTAACTGGGAATATCCCAACAGTTCTCTGGCATATAGAAATGCGATATTCAATCTCCATCTTCAAAACCATGTTTATAGTTATTGATTTTGTTTGCATTTGCACTATAACCCCAGTAACAGCACAGACCGCAGACTAGATTAAAGTTGGATTCTCCTGGTCACTTTGAAGCATATCACTAGATCTGGCATTAATAGAATTAAATATAGTTATATACAGCTTTGCCTGCTCTAAAGGTGATTAAGTTTTAATCAGAATTGTTCATATAGTATAGCTGGTTAATAACAATCATATTCTATATATCAATATAATCTGTTCCTGGTGATTCCAACCAAATGAATACTTTCCATTGATAGACATATATATTTTTGTTTTTCTTTTTAAAATAGTTATTATCCCTCATTATGGTGAGTTGGGCTTGACAAAGATATATATATATATAACAGGTAAAAGACTAAATATATATATAGTCTTTTACCTGTTATTCTTTCAGCCTAGATAGACCATATTGATGGACCAAGAATACAGAATAAGACATTTTATGTCAGTTGATCAAGCACACAGAATGCCAAGAGTCTATGGACACAGTCTCCGTTTTATTGTCAGATTGTTTGGGAGTGATTTGACAAAAATGGGACTTTCTTTGGAAAGCAAATAATGTCCCCTTCCAGATTAACTCTATTATATTTAATTTAAATTTTCGTCCTACTTATGTTTTCTGACTTGGATGACAATGACAGACGGAGAGTGTTGGACATGGGTTAGCCCTGAACCCTAAGCCGAAAGCTACCAGCCATGTTGGTTGTCGTTGATATTGATAATGTGGAAGGGTAAATTCTACATTATCATATTTGCTGTATAGGGGTCATTCTCTAGGTACTAGACAAAGACCCAATTTTTGTCAGCACTGCCAAACAGTTTGACAAAAGAAGAAGGGACGTTGGACACATGGCCCATACTGATCCTTGTTGATAATGGCTTTACTAGATGTTTGACCTGTTCAGATCATGATTGTTAGACCAATATTGATACAATGTCACTGGGAAGTGCCGAGCCTCAAAGATTTTCCTCAGAATCTATGTCGTCTGGAAGGTTAATACAGGTTATCAGGGAAATGTAGAGAAGAGCATCTCTGGATAGCTTCACTGTTCTGATTGGAATCTCCGAAGCTGTTTTCTCCTTCTCAGTAACGTACGTTATGTGCACAGGTCCTGTGATGTCTATTGTGGAGATGTTATCACGTGAGTCCCGACTGACTTGGATATTTGAAACTGGTGCTTCTTCCACATACTGATCATAAGACCCACCACAGATGTCCCATCGCCTTTATTACAATAGAAAACACTTTTAGACAAGCGGCAACAAATGAAAACATCAACATCTTAATATATTCTAGATTTTTTTTAAACTGTGTAAAGTCACCATCAGTAATGTATGTATTCCACTATTCATATGTAGTTATCCTTCAAATCTTGTACTTTCCAAATATCATTATAATTTCCTCTATTTCATTATTCAACTTCTAGTGTACCCTTGGAATTTAGCCTTGTCATGCTGCAAAATTAACCCATACAGATACACACAGACAGGAAGGGATTGTCATAATTTTAACATGGAATAAATCCAGTTCCCCAAACAAGCACAGCATTTCGATTAGAACTGCTATTGACACATCTTAATTGAAACAATGTGTGTATGTCTTTGTCGTTATTGCAGCATTCCTGACTTGGATACATGTTATAAAGCTGGGAGTTACAACATACCATTAATATCCACCATTGATCACAAATAGCATGAACCCTACATTCATTCATTCATCTTAGAATGCTCACATAGCCAATGCTTAACATCATAAATATGTGGAGTTTAGAGCTAGTGTTTATTAAAAACAAAACAAAAAAACAACTAGTTGTATGCTAAGTTAATTTGGTTAAAGAAAACAACAATATATATGTTTAAATATGCTTGTGACCGACAAATATCTTATCTTCCTATAATGTGGGATAGCTAAAAAGGGTATAAAACCATTTGACCTAACCTGAAATCTAACTCATTTAAATGCATTCCTAATCCATCCATAACAATACAGTCATTCAGGCTCCATTTGTCTATACAGAAGAAAGATGGTCTGTTTCTTCTGCACAAGCACTGTAGGCAAGGGCCAAAGATGGTTGCATGTCATCATGGCCTTCATATGTTTATGTACACCTGTGGAAGGGTTTCCAGATTATCCACTGTCCACGCATCTGTACTACATGCTGATAGTTAAACTAATACTAAGAGTCTAGGTTGACATATGGCCACAAGGAGAAGAACTTGCTTTCCTAATTCTTGTTTTTTGGCATGTTCAAATGAAAAGATCTCTGATCACATTTGCTCGAGGCATTCCTAACAAGTATGTGGTGGTAGTTACCTTGTGCAACATGAGGTGGCAACCAGAAAAAAAGTAGGCTGTAACTTTTTTAGACTGTGATAGCCTTAACAAGCACCTACTGTCCGACATATTTGCAGAATCTTGCTTTTGACCATACCAGACCTTCTGTTTGGTCTTATCCTCCCTTTTGAGTTTGACGTCTCTCCCTTTTGCATACCAAGTGCCCATATAGTAACTTAGTTAGGGAAAATCCAATGGTCTCTTGCACCTTTCTGTATACAAATATCATTCACAGAGATGTTTTTCTTTGTGGACAGTACAGTATTTACCAGATGGTGCAAACACAACAAAGCTTCCAGATGTGCCAAAGCAAGTTTGACATAAAGTTGTCTGATAAGACCTCACCCAGAAAACTCACCATAATAAATATTGGAATAAGGGCCTTGGCTATTAATTCAGTGGTGATGTTGGATAGTTCCACATCATGGGTTCACTATATAATTATGACCACAAAATAAAAGAGTTTGCTGACTATGGGGAAATGCTGGAGAGATGCTAGAGAGTTATCCACTATTCTGGTATGTGTCCAAAATGCATAAAAATTGGGTGAAATCCTCCAACCTAAGCTGATAATAGTCCTAAAAGTGGGTAGCTTTCTTGACCATGCCCCAGGTAGTACAGACTCTGTCCATTTTGCTGGCCTACTCTAGATAGATGACCCTCCTTGAACCCTTGGAAGTTCCACCAGTAGGTGTCATGGATTATAGTGTACCATGAGAGCAGGACATTCTTTAGTGTAGTCTTCTTATAGAACTTGGGATAGTTTGATAGAGTTCCATATCCCTCTCCTTGAGCTTACTGGCTAGGATGGGCAGATTGTCTGCTCCATCTCCCTCTTTAAGTATATGCAGTCTCTCAAAGACTCTTAAGTAACCATCACTTTGACCCTACACCAGGAGGGCAAATCTCACTGACAATGATGCAGGTGACTCAGGGTGTTCCTCTACGTCTTTGCTCTCCACTTGTGCCCTCCAAGCTTGTTTGTAGAGGCTGATGCTTGCTGGCTGATGAGGATCCTCCATCACTGATGGCATTCACAGCCTTTTCTTTTCAGTCCATTTGCTTGTTCCAGCTTTAGGCTTATTGGCTCCTAGTTTCCATTCTCCCATGTTACAAGCTACATTTTACTTGTACATTGGATTTGTGTACACTACAAGTCACTTGGTATCAGGACCTCACAATAATCAGGGCTGCCTTTCATATTTCTGTGATCTTTAGCCTCATGAGCCCTAGTAGAGCAATGACTATCAGATAACGGACAGTACAGCTGCTAATTTAAGCCCCATGTCTGTCCTGATTTATGTATCAAGATAACAAATTCCCTTTTTGAATAAACTCAACAGTAATTTCCTCCATAGGGTTCCCAGTAGCTTTGATGAATGTTTTTTGTATAATGAGATATTTCTCATTAACACAATACATACAATAATCTTCTACTAAAAGAAATACTGCCTTATGTAGCTTTTCCAAAAATCTCATTGCATTACATTTTCATAAACAAAATATGATGGGAACTAAATGGAAGGCTATTTCAGAGCCATGAAAAGTTCAAAGTTAAGGGGGAACCCTCCCCCACCCCCCATCCCCCTGAATAGACTGTATCTTAATCTAGATGCCCCCTGTGGATACATAATATTGTAAGTTAAAAACTTCTACTGATGCTAAAGTCTTCTAATCTGATCTAAGAGTGAGACACTAACCAGTTTACCTTCTCATCGCTTTGAGTATTAGCAGAATTCCTGACACCAACATGATGCTCCCAGCGATTGACACCATGACAACCTCATAGGTTCTATTGGTATAATCTAGAACAAGACAGATACAATGAACACATGAAATACTGCTCCCTGCATCATACCTCGTGTTCCATGTGTTGTGATGACATTCTCCCACTAACTAATTTTTCCATTTTTTATTTTTTTTACAGTGGTATCTAATTTAGGATTTTTCTATTATCCTCTACCACACCTATGTTAGCGGTGCTTTTTTGAGCCTGTTGCTCTAGGCCAATTTAGCTAATAACCATATATTCTGTGTTGTGCTGTTATCCTTTTTTTGATGTGTACTTGTGCAATCTTCTCATAGAGGCCGTCCATATGTGTATCAAAATGAAATCAGCAGACTACAAGTCAAGGGAAGCAATTTATTTCTATTTGTTATGCAATTGCCATTTTATTAGTTTGAGATCTGTGAGTAAAACATTTTTTTATTGAGATATGTGTAGCATATGTTTTACAATGTGAGCAACATATTTATCATATTTATTTCAAATTAAAATATTTTTTTGTAATTATATTGTTTATGGGATACTTTTTACATACAGGATTCAATAATAGTAACGATCTACTGGTTTGTTTGCTACCATCCAGGCAAAGTAATCACAATTATTTCCATTATGGAGTTCTGCTTAAAAAGCAATGTACTAAAATATATATTAGAGGGACAAAGGTTTAAAAATAATATCAGGAAGTATTACTTTACTGAGAGGGTAGTGGATGCATGGAATAGCCTTCCAGCTGAAGTGGAAGAGGTTAACACAGTAAAGGAGTTTAAGCATGCGCGGGATAGGCATAAGGCTATCCTAACTATAAGATAAGGCCAGGGACTAATGAAAGTTTTTAGAAAATAGGGCAGACTAGATGGGCCGAATGGTTCTTATCTGCCGTCACATTCTATGTTTCTATGTTTCTATGTTATTGTGATTCTTAGTATTTATCTATAAAAAGAACAATATAGATTTTGTTTAATCCAAAGTTAAGGTTTGTTGATTCAAAATTAATTTAAAAAAAATTTTTCTAGAAAATATCTCAAATGTTATTATTTAGATTTGCATAAAATGTATACAGTGCAAATTCCAAACTGTCCCATGATTCCATGCGCATAGTGAGTGCATAATTATACATGCACAAGTCATCATGGGAAAATCTTGCCTGCTATACATGTATGCACAAAACATCTGAGAAAAATTGGGATGTTGTGTACCCAGTATTGCTATGGGGGGAGCATCACGTCCTATATGTACTATTCACCCCGATAAATGATTCAATGGTATTTACATGGCTGAATAAAAATGGAACTGTCACCAAAGGAAATCTGATAAATCTAGGCAAAGAATAATTGTGTGTTTTGTGAAGGAAAGTTTATTTTTCGTTATGAAATGCTTTTAATTTTCTACATATGATTTAAAGAGCATGCTGGCAAGGTATTATTACAGTTTTCTTTATCAAAAACAGAATATATTGCTCTATGAAATGCATATTCTAATGATTGTGTCACAGTTTGCAATAACACAAATGTTTTAGTACCTTTTACGGGGGTTTCGTTGGAAGACATCTCGTATCCACTTCTCACTATTGTCATTCTGCAAATTAATGAAGCAAAATAAATAACTATATAGCTGCTCGTTGATGGATGCTGCCAAGGGCCCACTGCTGTGAACTGCAGCACGTGGGTTTATTAAATAAACAGTGATATGTCCTGACATAAAGAAAAGGTAATTTGAAAATGTTAACAATAGAAAGCAGAACTGGAAAATGTCACAGTTTTATCAACTGGGATGTTTTAGCATAAATTCGCACTTTGACGAATGGGCACTGAAATAGATAAAACCAGTAACATTGTGTATTTAATGTGAAGACGAGACAAGCAGTGCTTTGAATTAGTCATTTTTAAACTCTTCATGACAGGTGAAGTGCCAGCATAGTCATTATATCATATAATTTGATTAGCCTCTTGTTCTGAAGAAGTTAACAACTAATTAGGGTTAATAATTAACTGTGCCAACTTTCCTCCCAATACACTTCAAAATGAATGATGCTCTAGGCAAGTGGTTCCCAACCCAGTCCTCAAGTACCCCCCTTCCAGTCCAGGATTTAGGGATTACCCAGTTGTGTCTAAGATGTTTTTAGAAAGGAAAAACAAAACACTTGAGACACAACAGGGTAATCCCTAAATCCTGGACTGGTTGTGGGTATGAGGACTGGGTTGGGAACCTCTGCCTAGACAAAAGTCTATTTTGTCATATTATATATTTGGTCCTTTCTATAACTAGGTATTGACAACAGGAGTGCAGTGCAACCTTTGGGCCCTGTTTTATAGGCATTGTGTAAAGTAAATTGTATGCAATTTCAGCAGCTGAAGTAAAACATCACAAGAAAGAGATAAATTAAGCAATGCAATATGCAGAAATTAAACCTTTCATTTTAGTGTATTATAAAAATCAAGGCTCAAAAGGAAGTCCTTTTTACTCGTGACTGTAAGCCTGGAGGGTCTATGACACACTCAACAATAGTGAATTTCTACTCACCAGTGGTGAATTTTTGAAGCCATGATATACATAATGCAGGAAAAAAACAAACAAAAAAACCCCAATAAAACAACCCCCCCCCCCAAATAATAACTAAACAAATGTTCCTAAAATATCCATGCCTGCACAGGCAAGTGCTGAAACTGGCAAGCCCCTCTAGACTTTGTCATGTCCCAGAAAACCCTGTCCTTCTATCCTCCTGAGTTTAAGGGGAATGTACTTAAAGTGATTCTATAGTTTTAGGAATACAAACCTGTATGCGTAACACTATAGTGCTTTCTGGTCCCCCAGCCCTCCACCCCACCACCACACCACCCAGCACATAAAGGGCTTAAAAAAAACTTTAATTACTCACCTGATTGCAGTGCCAAAGTCCCTGGATGCTGGGTCGGCGCTCCAGCTCCTCCGACGTCATCCGACGGGGAAACCTAATACGTACACACCTCAAGCACATTAGGCTCTCCCTATAGGAAAGCATTGCTTTCAAAAACTGCAATGTTTAACATTACTGGACTAAAGGGTTCAGGCACACTGCACCCAGACCACTTCAATGAGCTGAAGTAGTCTGGGTGCCCATAATGTCCTTTTAAGACATCTATTCAGTAAGCCATACTGCAGCTAATGTCAGTTCATTAACAGACCCGTTCAAAGTGTTAACCTGTGTGCAAGAATTCCCATAGCTCTATCTAGAGAGGAAAAAGATGCCCATACAAGCTGTGAGTGAAGTATACATCACTGTACAAATAAGTTGAAAAGAGTTTGGATGGCAAAGGAGGAAGTAAAATGTCTCTTTTGAGCTCAATGCTCTACAAGGCGATTTTATGTCTACAGCAAATTTTACTAATTGCTTTACTTATAAACTGTTTTGGACAATGAGAAAGGAAGCAGAGTACTCTACGTACCATATTCCTTGCAGTGGTAAATAATAATTTGTGTGCTTAGAGAGACCCTTTAATATAGGAAAAATATCCCTTATGTAGAAATGTATACCTGACAAGTTTTTCAAACTTTTATAAGCACTGTAGTGGTCACCTTTGCCTTTGTAATGGCCAAAGATAAGACATATAAGATAATTGTAGAATGCATTGATACAAACAGAAAGATAAGTTTCATTTACTACACTAATTTCCATTATTAGATACAAATTGTCTTTTTTACACATTTAATGCCAGGAGTGGAATGGATCATATCGGACATCAATACAATTGAATTCTTTGATCTTTAAAGATAGATGTAATTATCGTTAGTTAGTAACATCTAATGTCCTATAAATGTAGCACACAACGGGTTGCGAAATAGCCAGTTATACAGTGAATTAATTTAATATATTGTTCTTTGAAACACTTAGCTAAAAACAATAGAAGATTTCAACTAATGTATTTATTAAAAAAAAATATATATTTTAAAAAAACACTTTTTTATTTAATGTTTTAATTTTATTTTAAACGTTTCATGAATCTGTATCCGCCAATATCTCATAAAATCAGTTAGCTTGATATTTAATTATTTCAATTAATATTTAGATTGAAAGTGTTCAGAAAAAAATAATATTCTCTCCACTTTAACTACATTAGGTTTACTCTAAAAATATTCTTATTTGGATTATTAATTAACTTAAAATCTAACACGTGGAAAATAATCTTTGTGTCGTTAGTTCATCTACAATAGATCTAATAAGAAAAAAATACATTTTTGTATCATTAATTTACCTTAATTATCAAACCCGTAATATGTAAAATATACAGTGCATTTACCTTGGAAGGAGATCCTGTAACGTCTGTGGCATTCCAGAGTCTGATCTATTTTATGGTTGTCCTTTTTATCTAGACAAGTTTACAGTAGGTTTTATGGCATATTGCCAGCACCTTGTAAAATTTCATAATGCTCTTTTTTTTCCATGAATTTTTTTCAGCGCTAAATTTTCATGTGGATAATTAGCAAAGATTAAGCTCCACCTACAGGTAGTAATAGGTACTACTGGGATTGGCGTCAACCACACAACACAGAAGTAAAGGAATCATTTACCTGTCACACATAATGTATAGCAGTTATATGACAGTAGTATGCAGTTATATGACTCTCCTGTACTCTGCCCATGGACTCTTCCAATCCCATAATTACACTAATTAATATATAAGACAAGGGAACCGTGGATCGCACAAGTGTCAAGCCTTGGAAAATGACACATTGTAGGTAATGTTTTTTAAAATATTTAGCCAGGCTCAAACAACTTTATTTGGGCCTGTTTGGTATTTTGAGCCCATATTAGAGGATAGAACCCCTCACCAGAGGGTGCGGACTGTTCATCCCCACTCTCTTTTCTGGTTGATGGCTCGGAATTGGAGATATGACACACTTGTTTATATGACTTGTATGTTTTGCATTGTACAGTGACTGCTCTCGCAACTGTAAGTGATAAAACTCTTTTGTTTGTTTTTGTTTGTAGGTATTTTATGAAGATATTTAAAAAATATAGACCAATTTGTCTTCTGTTTTCTGAAATGAGCAAACACATATTGATCCAAATGAGCTCTGAATTAAAGAACATATGGATGAATTATTTTTTCCCCTCCAAAAGAGCCTCTTCTACCCAAAGATGAGTGGTCATCTACTACTGAAATGGACTGGAAGTCCTGAACATTTTCCCAATGTGTCGTGAATTGAACAAATAAGTGGGGTAACTGCTCGTACAAGAACTGAATTGTTGTTTTGTCTTGTTCAAAGAGATCAATCCCTAAAACTCCTAAACACATTTATTTTTAGAATATTTATATTGATCATGTTTGTCACATTTACTTTCCTAGGATTAGGAAAGTAATTAAAGGATTCATATTAATATTACTTTAGAAGGCTCCAAATGTTAGCCTGCTCATTATGGATCTAAACACTGGTGAGACCTCACTTGGAGTATTGTACGCAGTACTGGAGACCGTATCTTCAGAAGGATATTGATACTTTAGAGAAGGGCTACTAAACTGGTTCATGGATTGCAGGATAAAACTTACCAGGTAAGTTAAAGGATCTTAACATATATAGCTTGGAGGAAAGACGAGACAGGGGGGATATGATAGAAACATTTAAATATATAAAGGGAATCAATACAATAAAGGAGGAGACTATATTTAAAACAAGGAAAACTACCACAACAAGAGGACATAGTCTTAAATTAGAGGGACAAAGGTTTAAAAATAATATCAGGAAGTATTACTTTACTGAGAGGGTAGTGGATGCATGGAATAGCCTTCCAGCTGACGTGGTAGAGGTTAACACAGTAAAGGAGTTTAAGCATGCGTGGGTTAGGCATAAGACTTAAGGTAAGGCCAGGTACTAATAAAAGTATTTTGAAATATTGTGCAGACTAGATGGGCCGAATGGTTCGTATCTGCCGTCACATTGTATGTTTCTATGTTTCTATGTGCTCCATTAAAGGGACACTATAGGTACCAAAACAACTTTAGCTTAATGAAGCAGTTTTTGTGTATATTTTATGCCTCTGACATTTCACTGTTCAATTCTCTGCCATTTAGATTTAAATATCTTTTTTTTTCTGTTTATGCAGCCCTAGCCACAACTTCCCTGGTTGTGACTCACACTGCCTGCATGAAAGCAAATGGTTTAATTTTCAATCAGGTGTAACTTACTTTAAAAGTTTTTATCTCTTGCTCTGTAAATTGAACTTTAATCACACACAGGAGTCTTCTGCATGGTCTAGCGAGCTATTCGCAGAGCAGGAGATAAGAAATCCTAAATTAAACAGAATTTTAAATTAAGGAAGTATAACATTGGATGACTCTTTACAGGAAGTGTTTAGGAAGGCATTGAAGTCACATGCAGGGAGGTGTGACTAGGGCTGCAAAAACAAAGTGATTTAAGTCCTAAATGGCAGATAATTTAGCAGTGAGACTGTGGAGGCATAAACTATACACCAAAATGCTTTGTTCAGATAAAGTTGTTTTGATGACTATAGTATCCCTTTAAACAATTAGAAGAACTGCACATCCAATCAATGCTGCCGCTCGATGATGGCTAACTTGTTACCCCAGTTTTTTTAACATTTCCCATGATGTTCAGTCAGCCTTTAATCAACTGTTCCCAATTACTTATTTACCTTTACATTTCCTAGAAACACTCTTTCTGTGTTTGCCCAATAATGTTTAACAAATGCAACAATTCTGATATATTTAATAGACAGACAGATGGATAGAAAGACAGAATGATACATTTACTGATCTACCGTATGATTTGTTGAAATATCTATCTGTCTGTCTGTCAATCTCATAATTAGTTTCTCAACTGTATGTTTAATATAAACAGAATAGAGTACAATAGAGAATATATATATACTGAAGTAGGAGAAGTTCAGTGCATTCTATGTGCTCTCAACAGCTTCATTAATTTATTCAAGTAAGAACATTATTAAGATCTACAACCAACGTGTGACCATCAGAGGGGAACATTCCCATTCCTACCTGAAAGCGTAGACAATGGCTAGATCTTTGGACTATTTCTGTTTGTTTGGTTATGGAACAAAATCCTGTGACCCAGTCTGCATGTTTTAAAAAAGACTCTTATAGTCATGGAGACCCAAACTATCACTTGATAGTTTTTATTATAGATTTTTTTTTATCCACATAAATGTTAAAGAAACTACAAGAACAGAGATAAATACATTTCTGAACAGAGATTATATTCATAATTACACTTATATTAAACTGCAAAATATACCCAGGGGGGTTACAGTTTAATCCATACAGCAGGCAGTATATAATATCGGCAGGGCCAACGTCACACTTTGTCCAGTCCAGAAATGACAACATGTCCTTAACTTGTCCCACACCATATAGTGGACACCACTGAACATAGAAAGGAACTCTATTCCATAAGAAGTTCTGAGATACATTTTTTGAGTTTCCAGCTCTATGAGTAGAGAAAATATGGGTTGAACGTGTCATCTTTGTCTAAGTCCTGTCTGTAGGAAGCCTAGTGCATGGTCAATGGTTGCATATACTTTGGTACTGACGGCAGGTCCATACAGATATGGTTTTCTGTTGTCTACTAATAGTTCTTATATGGTATGATACACATGGGTCCTGATTGCTCCAGGCCATCTTTTGCTTCTGAACCATTTTCCCCCGAAAGATCTTTCAAATTTCAGTCTTTATACAGTTTGAAATATTTGTTCATTTTATAACCGATTGTGTAGTCACAGGTTCTGCTGGCCAAGCTGAAGAAAAAAACAAACATACCATTACTCAACAAGGTAACAAAAGATGAAAAAAGTGTTTAGTGATATGTTTTATTCTTTAATATAATAATTGGTGTTATATTTTAGTGCTAATAGGAAATTGATGAAAATGTATTTAAACAACAGTGAGTAAAGAGTGTCTACAGACCTCAAGATTACTTACAGATATAATCTATGTTTTCTTAGTGGTATGTAGTGTATATACCTACACCTATGAGGCTTATTTAATATACACAAAATTGCAGTGAATTACATATGAATGGTAAAATTGAGTCTATAAACGGTTATCCAATTTCTTTGGGCTATTTTGGCCTCAGTTCAGCTATGTTAGCTTCAATTTTGTCATTCAAATTTAGGCCTTGATTCAAGTATGATTTCAAATGATTTAATGTTTGAAAATATGTTATTATCTTTATATTTTTTTGTACCGGTATATTTATATATTTTTATGTATGATAAATATTTTGATATTCTAATATTTTGAAAATAAATTTTAAAATTGGATCCAAAAATATTAAATGATTTGAAAAAGCTTATATAAATATATTAAATGTATGCCTTAATTCACAACAATTCAATGTTCGATAAAAACACCTGTTGTGTTAGCAGTGCATTGCGGACTCCTAAAACATGGGCCGTAGAGAGTAAAATGAATTCAAGTAAGTATTTGGTTTTCAGTTTTTATTGTGCTGCTATAAAAATATTATATTTTGTTTTCGTGTGTTTATTTATCTGACTTTTCTGATACTTTAACCAAATTTTGAGTTCCAAGGATTTTATTTCATTTTATTTTAACTAACAGTGTTGTCCTTAGCATTTATCTTTTATAACCTGAAGACACAGTAACCCGTGTAAATGACAGCAGCCTAGAAAATGTGTCTTCTGTTACCGCTCATTTTGATTGCTGAATATGTTAATAAAATCCACATCTTGTTTTTTACATTTACACCTTGTCTCTATCAACAGTCAGGGAAACAAATGCTTAAGCTAAACAGATAACAAACAATTCTCCTGAATACTGCAATCTAGAGGACCTGAGGCCAGCAGTGAGAATAAACTAGATCTATAAAGGAGATGTGGTATTTATTGAAACATCATTGCCCGGAGCATCAATCTAACAATAGCTTTCTGTTCTTGTCTTATCACTCACAGCTACAAACACACATTCCATTCTTATTTATACAATGCATTAAAGGGACACTCCAGGCACCCAGAACACTTCTGCCCATTGGAGTGGTCTGGGTGCCAACTCCCATCACCCTTAACCCTGCAAGTGTAATTATTACAGTTTTTATAAACTGTCTATCAGACAGCCACTAGAGGGACTTCCGGCTTCTTAAAACCCAAAAAGTGTTTTAAACGACGCTGGACGTCTGCACGCTATGCATGAGGACCTCCAGCATCGCCAGAATCCCCATACAAAAACACTGACTAATGCTTTCCTATAGGGAGGTCTAATGCGTGCGCGCTGCATGCCGTGCATGCGCATTAGGTCTCACATGCTGGCTGACATCGCCGGGGGAGGAGCCTGGGCGGAGCCTGACCCAGCATGGAGGGACATGAATGCTGGATTTAACCCCTTCAGCAACATGGGATGGAGGGTGGCAGGGAGGGAGGAGGGCACTGCAGGATTCTGCAGTGCCAGGAAAATGGATTTGTTTTCCTGGCACTGGAGAGTCCCTTTAAATAGTGCAGGGTAGGGCAGGGTTTTGTTTTATATGAGTAGCTGTATTATGAAATGTTTTACTTGTCACATCTATCTTTTTATTCTTTCTTGAGGCCATACAACTCACAGAAATACTTCTGACTTTTAACTAACCAGCTAGCCAAAATATGTGAGATAGGAGGGAAACTCTTACCTCTTTTCACATACTATTTAATGTATACTTCGTATTGCTGGTGTCAGGTTATTGTTTTTATTGCGTTTGTGTAGAAATTATATCTGTTTTTCTCACAACTTAAATTTACAAATGGACACGTGTGGTTTGGGATAAACTGGACACGTGTGGTTTGGGATAAACTGGAAACATGTGGTTTGGGAAAAACTGGACACATGTGGTTTTGGATAACTGGACACGTGTGGTTTGGGATAACTGGACACGTTTGGTTTGGGATAAACAGGAAACATGTGGTTTGGGATAAACTGGACACGTGGCTTTGGATAACTGGACACGTGTGGTTTGGGATAACTGGACACATGTGGTTTGGGATAAACTGGACATGTGTGGATAGGGATAAACCAGACATGTGTGGATTTGGATAACTGGACACGTGGTTTGGGATAAACTGGACACATGGTTTGGGATAAACTGGACATGTGTGGATAGGGATAATCTGGACACGTTTGGTTTGGGATAAACTGGACATGTGTGGATTAGGATAAACTGGACATGTGTGGATTGGGATAACTGGACACATGGTTTGGGATAAACTGGACACATGTGGTTTTGGATAACTGGACACGTGGTTTGGGATAAACTGGACATGTGTGGATTGGGATAAACTGGACATGTGTGGATTGGGATAACTGTACACGTGGTTTGGGATAAACTGGAAAAATGAAAATCCAGCGCACTCACTTATCTACTAAACAGTTATTTTGGTGCTGAACAATTTTGTTAGTTTTATTAAAAACACCTAATCTAGGCAAAAAATAATGGGGGTTTGGTTACATTATATGATCATACATTGCATAAGCCTGCCACAACGCCAATGTACCCCATCTTTGGCAGGTCCTACTCTGTCTGCTAAATGAGCTACACACTTGGGATAAACTGGACACATGTGGTTTGGGATAACTGGACACATGTGGTTTGGGATAAACTGGAAACATATGGTTTGGGATAAACTGGACATGTGTGGATGGGGATAAACTGGGCACGTGTGGTTTGGGATAAACTGGACACAGGTGGTTTGGGATAACTGGAAACATGAGGCTTGGGATAAACTGGACACGTGGTTTGGGATAACTAGACACATGGGGCTTGGGATAAACTGGACACATGTGGTTTGGGATAACTGGACACGTGATTTGGGATAAACTGGAAACATATGGTTTGGGATAAACTGGACACGTGTGGTTTGGGATAAACTGGACACATGTGGTTTGGGATAAACTGGACACATGTGGTTTGGGATAACTGGAAACAGGAGGCTTGGGATAAACTGGACACATGTGGTTTAGGATAACTGGACACATGGGGCTTGGGATAAACTGGACACAGGTGGTTTGGGATAACTGGAAACATGAGGCTTGGGATAAACTGGACACATGTGGTTTGGGATAACTGGAAACATGAGGCTTGGGATAAACTGGACACATGTGGTTTGGGATAACTAGACACATGGGGCTTGGGATAAACTGGACACATGTGGTTTGGGATAACTGGACACATGGGGCTTGGGATAAACTGGACACATGTGGTTTGGGATAACTGGACACATGTGGTTTGGGATAAGCCACATGCTTTCAGGATTTAGGCTCTTGAACAAGTAAGATTACGGCGAATATACAGGGATATTTACTAATGTGAGAAATTTTGGGAATTTAATGTGAATTTCAACTTAAAGGACAAATTAGTCAATTTGCTAAAATTGTCCAAGATAGCTTTGATTTCAGATTGGCTATAATTTGAAATTCACTTTGAGTTCTTGACATTCCAAGTTAGTAAATAACCCTGATAGTGTACTCTGAAATCTTCTGTTGGACATAATTACACTTTCCTTTTTAGATTACAGTAGTAGTTTGTTACCAAAACTCTTAAAACGACACATAGAAACACCTCAGTGACACTGAGAATAACACAGCTGGTTACAATTTACTTTTATAAACAGTTTGGAAAAAAAATTCAGAGATGCTCTAATTCATATACAGACCAAGATGAGATAACCCATATTTCTATTTAATATTTTAACAAACATACCCCACAGACTGATCATTTCTGAATAAGTTATAACATTTTGAACGTGCCACCGTTTAATTTAAAAATATACACAGTCACTGATTGGTATTGATGCTAATGTACTTTTAAAGGTAACTATCGACTAATTTCCTTCTTGTTCTGACACAGGTCATGATTTAATAAGCTTTCCAAATGATTCAATACTGTTAAAAAAAACTTTCAAATGATTAATCTACAAAAATTCACATAGACTTTAATTGTGAGTTCTATAGGTCGCAGAAAGGTTTTGCTAATTGACTGTGATCATTTGAATAGCATGATTGATCGTTGATGAAACTACATGTTCTCACTTTATTTACCTTTTAACTCTTGCTCAGATGTGTGCCAATCTTTTCTTTCCTTATTAAACTTGCTGTGTATGGAATCTGCAAACGACAATAACAAATGCCTTGGTCAGATCAGAGTTTCACAACTAACCACACACAGATGCAATATTGTGCCAATCATATCATAGATACTTACGGTTTCCCCATAAACTATATTCAATGTCTCTCTATTTTGTCATTCCAGTAGCTAAAAACATCTTGAACCCCCATGAACCCACTTTTGTAGGATGGTTCAACTTCCTGAAAGGTTTGCTACAGTGGAAGGATGGTCAGCAATTCAATAAGCAGTAACCAAACAGAATGTATTTATTTAGAATTTAAAAATGTTTGTAAATTCTAAGTAGCTATAGACTTACATAACACTTGCCAATGAATATATGTCAGCCTATTAGCAGCAGCAGTTAGAATTTAAAGAGACATTGGTAGTACATACATATTTTGCTGAGATGGGGAAGATTTTGTTTAAGATTATAGCATGCAAACATGGAAAGGAACATGATGCACCAAAGCGCTATCACTTAGAATCATTTCTTAATTGAAACAATACAAGTATTGAAGTGTTCTGAAAGTGAAGCAATCATTTTCACCTTGAATATGCCATTGCTAATTGCTCAACTTTTGAAAATTTGCAACAGGAGCTTAAGTCCACTCCATTTTCTGAGTCAAAGAAAGTACTCACCCTTCTCCTTGACACAGGAAATGGAGCTGACTTAAACTCCTCCTTTGGTCAAAGAAAGTCAGGCGTAGTAAAAATACATAAGACAAAGTAGTTCCTATTTTGTCTTATGTTTTAAAGAAAACTAGATCAGAAATAAAGAAAAAAAGAACAGATTCTCAGAGAGGAGGAGAAAGTTAAGTTCGGCGTGACAGTATCGCTTTAACAATGAGCAACAATGTATTTAGTGATCTTGAATCAGAAACTGCGAGAACACGAATAAGCAGCAGGTGGCGACACAGCACTGTGTGAATTGTAGCTGCTCTGTAATATCAGAAATTAGATTAGCAACTTTCCCAGGGCTGAAACATTTTTTTTTATCAGTCTCCTCGTAAAGTAATCCAGTATTGTCCTTAGGTAAGGAATGCAAAAAAAAGGGGAACACATTATAGAGACATTTTTAAATCTATCATTGCTCCTAAGATAAATTAGTGTAAAGGTAATTTTATATGTTTACATATTTCAATGTTCTTTCTTTATATTTTATCTTTTTTCCTACTAAAGGAGAAGGTATTTTTCTGGTTTCTGGTTTGAAAAGTTATACTTCTTTCTTTGTTATTGATAACCAACCCGCCATTTTGTAGTCGGCATCCATTTTCTGGTTTATTGCTAAAAGCTGCTTAAATAAACATTTATATAAATGCAGTATTAACATTTTTTCTCATTACAAACTTGTTTGCGCAAATGACTTCACTCCAAACAGATACTTCCCGTTCAGTAAATGTTTTCGGGAACGAACATAAATAAACGAAACCTTGACTTGAAAATATCTTTGATAAAATGCGTCCTTTCTATTAATGCCAAGTTAAGTGTAATGTTTGTCTTGTGAAGATGAGTAATTTTTGACAAATGGCCAAAATATTTGCTTTTTCTGTATAATGTGATGTCATGCTATGTGATAAGATACCTATATATCCTGACATGTTGACATGTTATACCAATAAACTCAGAATTGATTTGAAACCTCTCTATTTCATTGTGTGTGTGTCGGTTAATTCTCCAAGCTTGTAGGTGTGATGTGCTGATTGGATTGCCAAGAACGGACTATAGCTGTTAAGATTCCCCAGGGAAGAAATGTATCCCTAGCAGTTACGACTTATGGTTAGAATATTTTGAATGGAGCTTTTCTTTCCTTAGGCAAGGTGGGCACACAACATCATCGGAGAGTTAAAGAAACATTTTGGGGTTTCTTTAGTATGGTCTAAATGGACAGAATCTGGTGAAAATGACTGGATTCCAATTGGGTCAAACCCATTAAACTTACAACCGGATGCAACCAAGCTGGTTTAACCCCTTAAGGATCAAACTTCTGGAATAAAAGGGAATCATGACATGTCACACATGTCATGTTTCCTTAAGGGGTCAAACAACCTCATACAAAATATAGGATACGGAACATTTACAATGCACCGATTTAAAAGTATAAATGGGACTAAATGTATTGAACAGGATGCAGATTAGCACATTTTTGTACAGTTGCTTTTGAACAAGTGAACAATAATTTGTTGTACTATTTGCCCACTTTTTTCCTTAATGCAAAATCTGTCAATTTATGTTTTTTTGAAGTCCTTTTGTGAAGGGACTCCTACAATGAATTAATAAATGCACGTAATTGCTGTCCCTTTAATTATCCGGTAGTGTGTAAGATAGCATTTATCTATCACTGTTTCCTTATTTCTTTCAATAACGTGCGGCTTGGTATGTTGAAACATTATGAATTTAAATTGCATGTATTCCCAGTTAGCAGCTATTGTGTACAAGACTCGTGACAGCTGTTTAGCTAGCTCGTCTAGTGTCTGCTAGAGCCGGCAGGAACAACCGTGTAACCCTGTGTTTTGTATTTTGAATTGTCGGTGTCCGTGTGGCTGCATGTCAGCTTTGAAAGTACATTTAAATGAGCAGTGATGTAGAGATACATCTGCTGGCTGTGTTCCTGGGTAAGTCTCACAGTAATTAGACACTTAGCCAGCTGAGAAAAACAGTAAAGGCCAAATAATATACTTCACAGAAAAGATCACAGGCACAGGATGTATCTAAGATATAACAGCATTCTGCACGGGTTCTGTATGTTTTTGTATGTAGGCATATGTTCCTGTATGTAGGTATAAAGTACTATTTTGCTCAACAACAAAAATATTTGCACATTTTTGGCATATAAACGACTGGAAAATAGTTGAAAATGTTTTTTAAAAGCTATTTTGCCTGACAATTTCGAGTTCCTTTGTTGAATCTCGACAGTTTCCAGTTTGTGAATTATTAGCCATGCATTTGATAAAGAAAATATATTTATTTATAATGTGTGTTAGAGAGCAAGCTCTAAGATCGCTTTTTAAAGTTAACACACGCATTCATGGGCCGCAGATCATATTGTCAAATCCCATTAGATCAAAGAAACGATGTTACACACAGATAATGTACTATCCTAGACTATCCTTAACAATACAAACTTCCTTTTCTCATTGGTAGCAGAAGTGTCTAAATGTGATTGTGTGCAACTGTGTAACTGTGTGGGTGTGTGTGTTATTAGTCTGTATACACTATTAAATGTCTCTTTTTCCTATTCTGTGCCATTATCCTTTACATTAGAGGATCACTATAGTGTCATGAAAACAAACTTGTTTTCCTGACACTATAGCATGCTTAGGACCCCCTCACCCTCAGGGCCCCCTCCCTTGGTGATGAAGGGGTTAAAATCCCTTCAGTTACTTATCTGAATCCAGCGCCGGGCTCCCTCGGTGCTGGTGACCTCTCCTCCCCCTCCGACGTCAGCTCCCGAGTGGAGCGGAATGCGCATGCACGGCAAGAGTTGTGCACTCATTCAATCAGTACATAGTTTCCTAGGGACGTTCTGCACGCTGGAAGACAGCCACTAGAGGCTGGATTAACCCTGCAATGTAAACATAGCAGTTTCTCTGAAACTGCTATGTTTACATCTGAAGGGTTAAAACCTGGGGGACCTGGCACCCAGACCACTTCATTGAGCTGACGTGGTCTGGGTGACTATAGTGTCCCTTTAATATCTATGGGCTTGGATCTGTTACTGTGTCAATTTGTTTAAGTCAATCCAGTGATGTTATACCTTTTAATCAATGTATCTTCTGGAATCCTGGAATTTTTTTGTAAAAATACTGGCTTGTATAGCAATACCTGCTCTGTTTTAAAATCCAAGTATTATTTTGATAACATATTTAATTTATTGCACAAAATAGGTAAAACAGGAGTCACAGTTCAATTTTGCTTTTAGAATTATTAATATCTGCGTTTTACATAGCTCCAACATACTTCGCATTGCTTTACAATTATAGAAAGGGGATATCTGAAGAAAGCCTTGTTCCAACAAGCTAACAATCTATGAGATACGATAATTAATCGTATATTAACTTACAATTTGTATCTGTTGAACCATCTCTTCTCTGTATGCCAGTTCACGTTTCATTTGATCGTGAAAGTTATCTGGAAGAAAAAAAAAATGCGAACAATTAGTTTTGCAAAGAATAAATAGGTGATATGTAAAGCAGTAAATAGTTTGTTTAACAAACGTTGGAACTTCAGGAACTAATAATTATTACTATAATAGTAGAAATGTAAAATATATATATATATATAATTAAAATTACATTTTTTTGTTCTTCTTTCAGGCAAAGAGTCATCACTAGACACTAGAAGGTTATACAGGTCTTACAATATTACGGTTGTTCATATGTGTATCCAAAAGGAATTTCAAATTTTAGGCCCAAAAAACCAAATCTTAAAAAAAAAAAAAAAAAAAAAAATGTGAATTTTCCAATACTGCTATTCTTGTTTCCACTTTTAAATTCCTGACAATTCACAGTTTAATGAATAAAAACCTATGTTTGTTTTATTTTTCTAAGCGTTAATCCTCCTTTTTGAATTAGTGGATTGCATTTATGAAATGGAAAACATAAACGCAACCACTCACTCGACCATTAGAACAAAATAGAAAATACGATAAAATGCAAACAGTTGTCAAGGCCAATAAACACAAATTATTTAACAAGGAAGACACTGCTCAATGCTATCTTGTCTTAGAGAGTATAGTAAATTTTCCTCCAGGTCTCTCTCGCTCTGTCTCATAATGGAGTTGGAGAGAGCTGAGAGCAATACAGCTGCAGTTATAACCATTAAACAACTACTCTATGATTTTAACCAACCTCATAGGGAGTTATTGAAGAAAACAGGAAGTAGCCAAAGGAGCCAAATTTTCTCTAGTGAGGAAGCCATTAGAGGACCCTCCAGGGGAAACATAGATGGATATAAAATAATATATTGGTCCTGATGGGTTTGTTTTCCAAACAACTTGAAGAGATGTTTATTGTATTGTTTAACCCATATTAAGCAATCGGATGCGGACTGAACGTTAAATTACTACGCTTTGGTCTAGAAAATCACCAGTGAACCTTTTTTCTTTATAAACTATGTAAGGGATTCTATGGTAAGGTTTTAGCTGAGGTTAGATTTGTAAATAATTTTATATTTAAAAAACTTTTTTAAATAGAACCTTTTGTTGATCTTCTAAAAATGTGCTCAGGGTATGTAGAGAAACCTGAGGGCTTCATGAATATCTCGTGAGAAAATTATTTTGTGTAAAATTTCATGCTTTAAATTTTCATTTATTTTTAGAAAGTAAAAACAACAGATTTCTACTATTCGCCTGAGTTTTGATGTGATGTGTCAAAGCAGAAACAGGTACCTAAGCTATCCGTTACATTAAAGTCTAAATGCCATGGTTTAACTTAAATTGTTACAATGAAACATTTAATAATTTCATCTATACATTATGCAATCAGAATTGCTCACAAATTAATAGATCATTCAATAAATGCAACAAAGGATGCGTTCAATTTATTCGCCTGTCATTCAATTCCATGGATAGAGGTCTATGCTGACATCACAGCATCTATACCAAGAACTGAGTGACACGAGAGAGCAGAAGAACCCTATTTTTGATGATTTTCCTGCTGTTCATCACAGCATCATTTTACGTTGCCCTTAATTCAGCCATACATCTTTGAGAAACTAACTGTACAAAATGTCACGATTATTTCGCATTTTATTGTGGGTCTAATTGCTGTTTGTGTCTATGTAGAGCATTGGTGTTCTGTTACTTCAGGCATTAGTTAACCACTTTTTTTTTTCTTCAATGTCCAACACTGAATATGCGTGGTTCTATGTTATCCTTCCTTTTAGCTCTCCGTTTCTATAAGAAACCATTGAAATGTAGCAGATATGTATACATATTACAGAGCCCACAGTGCATGCGCAGGCTATCCTCAAACAAATGTGTGGGTGACAACATGCTGTCTGGGAATGCTCCGTCATTTCAATGTTGCTGTTCAGGAGCATTTGTTATAAGTATTTTGTGTGTGTTTAATTAGAGTTCAAGAGTGCATTATATGTAGGACTCTTTCAACGGTGCATTTGGAGATACTTAAAGATTGTAAGGGAATTTGTTGTAAGGGTGGTCAAGTTAAATAAGGTTTCTGAATGACAGTCACTGAAACTATCAATGCTAAAATAGCCCCTTGTTTTCTGAAGCACCGATATAATGAAACAAAGTGGACTACAGTGCATTCATTAAGTATGGCTAGTTATGTTCAATTAAAGAGCATTTGATTAAGGCAACTTTCATCCAAAATATTAAATTTTTATACAGCAACAAAAAAAAATATTCAGCAATAAAAAATTAATTTTTTCTTTCCATACAGACTAAGTTCCATAATATAATACTATGGAAGAGCACAATCTATTGTCATATATAGTATATTTTAAAAAAATATCTCAGCTGCACACATCCTGCTTTTGGAAGCAATCACCAGCAATGATACAACACGTAGATGACATTTTTAGTAACGTAAGCTGAGGTTGATAAAGACATACGTCCATCAAGCTCGACCTGCAGAGTATTTCTTGTGACCCTCATCCTATATTTATATTGATCCTGATAATGAGCAACCGTAAACATTTAGACCTATCATGGACGATATGGACATGCTATTACAGATTCCCAAGGACATTGGTACTGAGTGTCATGTAGCAAAGAGTGAAGGAGAACAAAGAATGGAAATATGAATTATGGAACTAAATATAAAGTGATTCTGAAAAAAATAAATAGAAAACAAAAAGGAAACATTGTTTTTCTTAGTTTTGCTTGAAACCATCCAACAAAAAAAACCACAGAATTTTTTTTTTTTTTTAAATGAGTTCTTACAAAAATGTTTGTGTACAAGCTAAGACCCGGGATCATTTAATAACAAATCCATATAATAAAAATTCCAATTCCAGATGTTGATTTGGTAGGACTTTGAAACGGAAATTGGAAAACGTTACTATTGGCAATATTAAGGAGTGATAAAAGCATAGACCGCAATGAGAAAAATGTCACATTGTGACGGATTCAGGATGCAATGTATGGGCAGAGGTTAACCAAGTCATAGGTAACAGCTGAATGAACACAGACAATATCACAAAAAACGTGTCATGTCCTCTGTGTCAGTGCATTGTGGTTCCTTACTGGCAGTTGCCATCATTATGCAACTCAAGGTTTACAAGCTATGAATTTATTTTCAATTTTTTTTATGCTAAGATAATTTTGCATTACGAATTTAAAAGACACATATGGCCTTATGTATCTTTAGCATTATTTTCTTTATACATGTCTAAGGCACATGTATGAAATTTGTGTCCTTACAGATACAGACACAGAACGATGTTCATCACGGAGTACCGGTCTTTGGGTGTTACAATGTTACACTCAGAATCTACCTATTTAAACAAGAAAAGTAAAGTCTCTTCTTTGATCTCTATTTTTGCATTTAAAGCTTTGCATATGGTCAGTTTTAAAAGTTACATTTTTTTCTATAGTGAATCCTTCTATTTCTGTGCACTTCTTAGTGCTTAGTGGTAGCTGAAAAGAAATCCACAACACTCATGTTTAATATACTTCTAAATGACTGACAAATACAATCATTTTTTGAACCTGTGTACTTACACTATGAATGATATATAGCTTTTATGGACATTAGTAATGAATATACTCCAAATATGTCATCTTCTACAACTATACTCTATAAACATTATATTGTATAGCATGGTCTAATAAATAATGTTTGCTTGTTTTGTGATATTTGTCTATCAATAACTGATCATTTCTTGGTTTATAACCACTAGAGATGTCGCGAACCGTTGGATGCTGTCCAGGAGGTGGGAGGGTCTGGAAGGGAGGGTCTGCTGGAGATTGGCCGGGATGTGTCAGCTGACCGGAGCTCGCCGCGAACGGTTCGTGGCTAACCGTGGCGAGCCGTTCGCGGGAAGTTCGCGAACGGTTCGCGACATCTCTAATAACCACATCTCTAGAACATTCCCAAAATTCCTGGGAAGTATGATCAGTCCTGCGTTTTCCTACCCCATGTCCTCTGGCCCTGACTTCCCATCACTACAAAAAGATAGCTCTGAAAATCTGGAATGACCTGCCAGAAAGAAAAAAAATCAAACCTTCCACCAGACTGAAGTCCATGGAGACCTCTGTATCTATCTAGATCCAATCAAGAAGCAGGTGCTCTCATTGTATAATTTACTGTATAGATCTCATAGGGAATGTGTGACATTGTATATTGTATGTGTTCTCCAGGTCATACTTGAAAATTAGAGAAACGTCAATGTATTCTTTCAAAACATTTTAAAAGAAAATCATAACCTAGGATTTTAAAGTTAGACTAATGAATAATCCCACAACTGATCTGCTGGTGAAATAAATCTATTTACACTCAACATTATGTATTGGATTATTATTTTTTTGGATTCCTCTTTGGATATTAATGTGATCAATGGGAATAGTTGACGCCGTCTTTTAAGCCGGGTTATGGTTATTCACTAGAACAGGAACCGATAGATAAATTGCAAAATTTAGGCCAAAGTAGCCAAGATTAAAAAACAAAATGTGTAAAGTTTTTTTTTCCAAATCTGTCTATGTTGGCCTAGAATCACAAATTATCTAACCCATTCTCTTTAAAAAGAAGCCTGTTGGCTAAAATATATTAAAAACATAAATTCTTTTAAAATACAATCAGAAGATATAATGATTATTCTTTATGTATGGGTTATTGCAAAGCATTTTTGTTGGAGTGGAAATATAGAATTGAATAAATATAACTTACTGAAAACCGGAAAGGATGGCGTTCCTTTTAAAACTTGAAATTCCTGCTCAAGCCTCCGCCGAAGATCTATTTGTTCAAACAAGACTTTCTGAAGTTCTTCTGGAAAAGTCAAAAAACAAAAAACACTTTGTAAAAAACACTTTACAAAGATGCAGTACAGGAAATGACTCAATGTGATCATCAAAGAAAATATATAAAAAGAAACGATAAAAAAATAATTATTTTGCCAGCTTAAATGGTTCCTTTGGCATGCGATAGATTTGATGCAAATTTCCATGAATACAAATTAATGCAATATATTATTTTAAAGTATTATATTACGGTGTCATGTATTGATTGATATGCATGCATTAATCTCAATTATATCCACCAAGGGTCCATATATTATTCATATGATGCCTGTCAAATGTAAAATATGTTTTAAAAGACTGTTATCCACCAGGCTTATTCACTAACTCTTTCACAGATATATTGGGGGAAGGCCTGTATTAAGTACCCCGTCAGTTGATTGATGTGTTCAGTGCCTCAGGCAATGAAGGAGTTAATCTAAAATTGTAAAAGCTTTTTATAATGATAGGCAATGAGTGACCTCTCATGTGTTCACTAAAAAGGATCTATTATCTGTCATACATTTATTAATCAATACATTACTTTATCGCCAGCCCCTCCATCCATGTATTATAATTTAGAGGAGAAACTAACATCAAGGAGTGTTTATAATCCGGCTGAGATGTTTTGAATTTATACAACGCAAAGTATAATTGGAAATATTCTCAAACTTGCAGTCAGATAAATTATTTTTCAATAAAATATCCAAACTAGATTTTCTAAAATTCTTAAATATTCAAGCTGTGACTATTGCAGAGTTTCAGTATATTTCCAATTCAGTTATTGTTGCCTAAATTATGTATTGCAGTTTTAAGTTTACTGCAGTTCAGTGCATTTGAGTAAACTTTGGTATTTTCTAAAGATTGTTTGCACATCAGTGATCACAGTTTATTATGTTGCGGATCTACACTCCTAATGCAAATAACAGTAGGAAAAGCTAGTGACAGAAACTTCTGATTCATTTTGTTCCCCGTTCAATTTTCTCTAGACTGACGTTGAAAAATATCAGTCATTTATTTGCTAAATAAATAAGTACTTCTTTAATTGAGTTTTCAGTTTTTATTTATTTGTTTTAAGACATGTTGGAATAATTTACTAAATGTCAGAGTAAACTGTAATGTCTCATATAATAAATAAAACTGTTTTTTTTTAAATTGGCATCTGTAAATCTAAAGACAGTGCAGGCTACTATTAGTATCTGCCTATAGGCTTCGATATGTATCTTGACCTAATTCTACTGCCCTGTAAAAGGAGTTTGTCTGCATTACAGCACCGTAACAGTGAGACTAACGGACTCTCGTACAGTATGGAAGGGGAAATGATAGGTAGTAAGGTATACTCGCATTATAGATTGACTCTAGAGCAGGGGTTCCCAACCTCAAGAACCGTCTACCAATCCAGGATTGACTCTAGAGCCAGGAAAGTTTTGGGGAGAAAAGTGATTTGCTTACATTTTGTTTTGCTAAGTTAAATGAAGCCAACTCAATTTATACACACGATTGGTAGGAAAGGTTTTTAGGTCATATGAACAGTGAGCGGTTCTAAAAGTGGAACAATCAACAGGAATATTCCGCTAGCTTTCATGGTGATAGCTTGTTTACAAAGGTTTACCCCAGACTTCGCTGTCATCTACCAGCTTTACTGTCATCTTGTTTTTATACAATTTAGTAAGTATCATAAAACAGATATCTCTTCTTTAAACTGTAAAAATTTATTTTTAATGCTTATGTTTTTCTTTTGGTTGGATTCCAACTTGTAAAACATATGATATCTACATTAAAAAAAAACACACAATCTTATATGTATATGTATATATGTGTGTATATTTGTGTATATTTCATATTGTAGTTCATCCCATTTACACACTATATCTGATTATTATTTTTAACTGAACACTTGCTTCTGTAATAATTGAATTATCTTTAAAATAGAACATCTTATAAGTTATAAAACACCAACATATCCCATAGTGCAGCACAATGGGTACAGTCATATAAGTAAATGCAACAAGCCAAGTTGGATATACAGCGACAGCATTACCTAGTGTCACTGTAAAATAGCAACGCTCTGTCTTTTGCCATCGCTGCCCTAGAAAAAAAAATCGCCAAGTAAATTAAATTATATCTATACCTTTTCCCATGCTTCCGACATCTTTCTTCAGTGAATGAGATGTACTGTTTTCTTGGCTGCCTTCTCCTACAGGGAGAAAACAAAACCATGTAATTTAATGACTTTTGCTGTTACAATTTTTTTATCCTCCCTATATCCTTTTTTTTTACGGCTGCCAAGTAATTGACTTTTCCAAGATTAAAACAGTTTCATGGGTAGTGGAATGACTGCATAAATTTCAGATTAAGGGCCTTTTCAGTACAGAATATTGCCATAGGCATACGAGAGGTTACAGCGCTGGCTTGGTAGATTAACCATTATCTTATATGGCGTACAAATAGAGTTTTGCATGTTTTAAAGGATTGAAAGAGACAGATATTGACATCTTTTTTTGTGTGTGTGTGGATAAAAGTCTATTGTTAATCTATTGTATTTCAAAGTCCATCTGTAATTTTAAAGCTTCAATGAGTTTTTAACCCTTTAGGTACCTTTGCTAACACAATTAAAGCGAGGGTGCATCAGGTAACAATCCTAAAGCAAAATATAAATATAGAGCCAATGATCAATTAGTACAGACCCAATCAATAAGTGTTGGACTGATGAATAACTCCCATGTTCTAAACAGAATTAAAAGTAGAATTAATTTTTTTTCTTTAATCTTATTAATCCCTTCAGTTTTACTTGCATCGTGTATTAGTTTTTACAAAATTAATTCAAAACAGCCGAACGCTGGAATAGCCTTCCAGCAAGAGTGACAAAGGACGCCAAGTTGCAGGAATTTACAATTATGGGATGTACTTCCAAAGTGCGAATAGATTAAGACTGAGGTTTAATAATGGGAGACTATATATATATATTGTTGGTTCGTATTTAGTATCACAAACTGTGAGTTCTATAAGACTGACATTTGCAATGAAGGAATATTTGCAGACAGACAGTCATATCCCTAATACATTCATTATCAGATGATTTACTGGGTTGACATAAGGATGCGAAGCATGTCAATAATCCTCTTGCATTTTTGTGGTTACTCTTCCCCACTCGGAGAAAATCCTGCAGTCAAGGCTTTTATATTTGTCTGGATCTGATAAGTAGCTAAGATGTCCACTGATGACATCATTATGTCATGTCACTAATGGAAATTCTAGGAACCAACTCAGAAGAGCAAGCTGATGGGTGCCTTCAGTTTTAACCTTATCAGTACATTGTTTTTATGTCCTGCACACAAGTGATAGAGCCTGTATGAAAACTGTTAAAGGAACCTTGGCAGAATGTCAGCCATTTTGAACCTGCTCAGCAAGTAACATGCACATGACAACATGGTGGCTATCGCTCAATGATTAGTACTCAACAAAAACACAGTTAGTGTTTTGCAGTATGTATTTTAGAGAGTGTCATTAATTTATTATTTTAATTATCGCTTTATATTATATAGTTCTTTTACATCTATTTATAGCTTAGAATTCAAGTGTGTTAATAATGCAAAATATAGACTTCAGTTAACATTACCCAGTATTTACCATGCCAAGCTGGAAGTGTGTGATCTCTGCTCTAGCCATATCTCCAGTGGGGGTGGAGCTAAGGGAAGCCAGGGCCCCTCATTTAGTGTTAATTTGCTCAAAACGTTTTAACACTAAATGGAGGAACAGTGCCAGAAACTCCAGGCACTATGACCAATTCAGCTAGATGAAATGCTTATCATGCCTATAGTGTCCCTTTAAGTGTTGTGAACTAAAAAGTTTTTTTAGGTCTGAGTGGGCACTAAATAATTAACCAAATGACAAACTATTGGATATCTGCCTTCCCTCATTGTTCTTATACATTATGTTTTGCAAATGTTGCCAACCATCAGTTGGAGGTCCAAGATTGGACAACCATGATAGTAATATAATATTTATTGCATTACAAAGTGGTTAATACAGCAATCATTAAAGTGAGATTGAGTTGGCTCTTTAACTCAAGGTTAAGCGTGGCCTCCACATAGTTTAACACTATCACAATGAGTATTGTCTGCTATGAGTTCATGATATGAGTTTCTACTTTGAAAAACTTTGGAAGCCTGACATTATCTAATGAATCCTAAGTAGTTTTATCATAGTACAGTCTCATAATATCTTATACACCTCAACAGGTACCTTAGAGGAACACGCTAAGCTTCATTAAACACTATACTGCACTGCAGTAGTTATGGAGCCAAAAGTGCCCTGGTGCTCGACCATTGTAAGTAGTCAAACAAACCGTTTTAGAATGATATGGCTTTTTACCTGGGATCCTCTGAGCACCACTTCTGGCTCTCTGTCTGAAGTAGTGGAGGCATGGAGGTGCTCCCAGCAGACCCTAGGTAAGAAGTCAAACTTTTCTAAATGGTTTCACATCTTACAATTAGTGCACACAAAGGCACTCCTGGCACAATAACCACTACTATGCTGTTTTGGTTATGATGCTTAGAGTATTCCTTTAAATATATAAGTACCAGGAACTAGTTATCCTGACATAATAGCAAAATACTATTTTATTGACATTGGGTCAGCTTAAAGGATCACTATAGGGTCAGGAACATAAACATGTATTCCTGACCCTATAGTGTTAACATGTATTCCTGACCATCTAGCCCCCCTGGGCCCCTCATGCCTCCATAAATATAGTAAAAATCTTACTGTATTCAAGCCTGAAGCTGTAAATCTGCATGCTGTTAGACTCAGAAAAACACAGCCCTGGCCAATGAGCATCTCCTCATGATGAATTGAATCAATGAATCTCTATGAGGAAAGTTCAGTGTCTGCATGCAGAGGGAGGAGACACAGTGCTGCCCTGTGCTCTGCTGACAGCAGATCTGAGTGGATGGAGGCATTTTATGCCTCCATCAACTCGGAAGTCCCTCTGGTGGCAGTCTGAGTGACTGCAACTGGAGGTGTTCATACTTCACTGTACCAGACTAGCTCTTAAATAATATGTAGGACATTATTTATGAATACACAATATAACTTGTTTGCCTTCCTGTGGCATATTTGGCGAATGTCCCAGGTTATATTCAGGCCAAGACAACAATCATTCCAAATATAAGGATGTTGGGCATATATATACTGGACCAATACAAACTACTATGTGATAACCTGTTCATTAGCAGGACTATACAACAGGTAACATTCAATGAGACTGGAAGAAAGGCATTTTCACTTACAGCAAAAGAAGGGCTTCTTTACAATAAGATCAATAAAGATGTTGAATTATCTACCTAAAGAGACTGCCTGATGAGATTCTATAGATGTTGTTTAAGAAAGGTCTGTATGGTTGTTGTTTTTTTAAACTAGACTATTGAAGTATATAAATGGAATCAAGAAGGATTTTCCCCCTTTTTGTGGCATAATTGGAGTTTGCTTCAAATTAGTTTTTTTTTGCCTTCTTTTGAATCAACATTATAAAAAGATGTGTTTCAAAGGTTGATCATGATGGACCTGAGTCTTTTTTTTAAGCTATATAACTACTATAACACTCTTAAAGGGACACTTGAGTAATATACTTATTGTATGGATTATGATGGTAGGAAGCTATAGGTGAAATCCCATCAGTTTTATTACGTGTGGTTTAACAAATAAGCCCACCTCCTTTGCTGTCGACATCAAAATGAGAAAGTTCTCTTTTCTTTATTATCTGTCCAACATATTGAAGCAGTGAGAGGGTACAAGTACTAAAAGTTAAGGGATTTGGCTGTGGCTCTCATTGCATGGTATAAGTATTCACTGAATTCTCATATTGAACAAATATATTAAGTGGATAATAAGTAATCCAACTTTCTCATTAAGATATCTCCAGCTGAGAGGCAGACATTGGCTGACTGAACTTCTTTGCCACCAAGTTAACAAAAACCAGAGCGAGCAATAGCTTCCATGCGTTATACACACTACAATAAGATGCAAGTTATCAGATGACTCTGCATATCATTGGAATATCAGGAAAATAAATAAAAATAAAATGTAATTAGAACTACTTTAACATGCTAAAATAGCAACTCTAAAGAATCAATAGATGCCTTGTGATATGCAATATCTCTCTAATTGGATAGCTTTTTTAAACAATACAATGCACCTATTACTGCTTGGTATATAAAGTATTAGCGTATTATACAATGGTGCACACTGGTCAAAGAAATACAGAAGTAAATGATGACAAAATGTCAGTGTTCTGAAACAAGAGATATTGAGGGCTCTGGCCAAGCAAAGCCGCAGGTTTAAGGCAAAACTGTATAATTACACAAGAATAAGAGTTGCATTTTTTGCAGAAAGGAAACGACAGATGTTCCATTTATATCTTAAAGTCTACATTGATAACTACTATATTTTCTGTGATACTTTAATATTGTGTATCATTTATCACTGAAAAAAACTCTTATATACTAATAGCTTACTAAATCCCTCCCCCTTGTGTTTTTAGACATTATTCTCATATTTCCTATGTATATGATAATGGCATGTATGTTTATATGAAACATACTGTAATCATGTATCCGTTTATCTTGACGTAAACCCAGATCTGTATATGGTCTAAGTTTTTAACTATTTCATGAGATGTAGAACCATATGTATATTGGGTTCATAGAGATTGATGAATAGCCCAATATAGCAGTTTTGACCCAGAAAAGTTTTTTATAACTGTGTGTGTCACACAACTTTTACTATGTAATCAGTTTTAGAATGTTAATGCCATAAACCTGTAGGTATAACCTCCAGCTGGTACAGAGAACAAAGTATGTGCTTGCAAGCGGTGGCTTTATATAATTATATGTGTTTAGTGAAGAGTCCACTGTAGTTAAAATAATATTAATATATACTTTTTTTTTCTACTAAGGGCTTTTTAAAATCCACTTCCACAATTATTTAATGTGCTGCCTCAGTTGGTGCATTTATAGACTTTAAAAAAAATATATATTCATTATATAACAATATTGCATGAGATATGGCTTTCATATCCCTTTGTCATCCAATGTAAGCCTAAATTGGGAGTTTATCTATGTGCTCATTATTTCTTATATTGTGGCTTTATACTTGATGCTTTAAATAATGTTGTAATTATGTGTTGAAATGTAAAGATAAAAAAAAGGAACTGACAAATCATAAAATCAATAGAATAAACAGCATTTAGAAAAAGGGAAATCAAATGATGGAATTGAATATCAGGCGATAGAATTATACTCTACTGGTGGAAAGAAAGGAAACAAAAAAAAAATAAGCGAAGACAAATAGGTTCAACTGGAAACGGATGGTGAAAATTGAGATGCAAGAAGGTTAAAGAATGGGATTCTGAATGCCTTTGGTGTTCTTTATTGGCAGTTTAATAACCATTCATATACATTTATAGCCATATTTGAAACTTGCTCCCAATTGGAACATATGGTGCCTGGTGCCTTATTAATAAAAAAAAAATATTACCTATATGGACAAGCATGACCTACTACTGAGAAAGGTCACATTTTCTTCGTCAAGCATAGGAATGAATACACAGTTTGCTCCACAGCAAAATATATCATCTATCTATCTATCCATATTTTCACTCCTCTATTATCTACCAATCTGTTGATCTGTCGATCCATTATTTTTGTGACATGGCAAAAACAATTAAAGTTACATTTAATGCACTGATGTAACCATTATCCTGATGTGACGAGACCAATCTCCCCACTGGGCATTGGAGGAGCCTGGTTGCCTGCCTGCTGCCTTTAGACTATAGCCCCATGTTGAAACGCTTGATTTTCCCCTGCAAAGACACGAAAGCCGGGTCATTCGGTACTTGCCCTATTTGAACAGTGATACCTCAGATAGCTACTCCATGGAGCCCATTCGTATAACGAAAGACTATGTGAAAGACTTTGGCTCCATGGCAATTGAACTGTATGTGATCTGAGTGCCATTCAGTAATAATGTGCGCTCAGATCTAAGCTATCTGGGGATATGTTGAATGTACCTGTTTTATGCAATAGCTGCACAGTTATATATTTTTATGTATTTTATTGTCTTTTGCTACCATGTGGCTAATGGAGTTTTGCCTCTGTCCTTGGAGATAATTGGATTACTTTACAATTATCTCCAGGATAGAAGACTCTGTGGAACTGGTTTTGGACAGAAAAGCCATGCTTCATTTAGTCACAAAGGACTTTGATCTAACTTTTGACCCACTGGACCAATTTGTATTATTTTGATATATGTTTGTATTTGGAGTATGCTGATTCTGAAAATGTGAATGTGATGCATACTTTTAAAGTTAGGAATAATGTGGAAAAACTGTATTTCTCTGCCTGTGATAATTACATTAACCCATTGTGTAAGGTAATTGTATCACAGGCAGAAGGGAGGATTTTCTGTGGGAGTGTCTGAGTATATTGTACGTGTTTATTGGTTGTTTTACAAAACCTTGTGGGTGGTACTAATGTATAAGAATGTGTATATAAGAACAATAAACCCACAGCTCTGTATGTTCCTGTTTTGACCCTCAACACGGAGCCTTGTCTGTTCCAGTTCGACTGCTAGGAGTGTAAACCTATTCGTATGTTTTTTCCTATTCGACTGTTTACAGCATTCGTATGTTTGAGAGCATTCGTATGCTTCTCCGGTTCGGTGGATTGGTGTCTACAGTAGCTGTGCCTGTGTCTCCGGAAGGGGAAGATCTACTAAACGGTGGTTTAACCCTTTTATGCATGGGGGTGCCGTTACACCTTATATACTGTACTATCTGAAAACATTAAACATTTAAACTGTATTTAAAACAATTGCTTGCATGTATTGAAGCCTTTGTGTAGTATTTTGTAATGCATGCAAATAAGAAAATAACCTTTTTTTGTGCATCTCTTGCCCTAACCTGGCTTTATGTTAGCAATAGCAACCATCTTTAATCTTTGGTCAAGATTATCACTTATACAACCAAAGACCATACAGTTAACTTTAAGCTGGTGCTCATTTATAAATCCTCTTCTTATGAACAAGTACTTGACATCTCTTAAAAGTATCCTGGACCTTTTTCGGTCATTCAAATTATATAATGTATTGGCAGATATGTATTGCTTCTGACCAAAGAGGACTTAAAGATGGTGGGCACCATTGATCAAAGGCAATGAAACACATAGCTATTTGTATGAATACATTATTAAATAATAAGAAGCTATTTTATATGTATCTTATATTGTTAATAATACTTTTATGACAGTTTTCTTTTAATGTACATAACAGTAAAATAACTTTGCAGAAATGCAAACATAATTATTGAGTTTAAGCGTGGGTGCCTGTCTATGAATTATGATCATTTTGAGAATTACTTTAAAAAATCTAGTATTTGTAATATCATACCTCTTAAATATCATTAACCAATAGTAAATTTGTGTTGAATACACTGCAAACCAAAGTGGAGCGTTAAAAATTACTTTAAATATCTTAACTATCACGTCTGTCTCTTTCTTAAAAATAAATAAAATATCAGACACTTCAACAGACATCTAAAAAAAATATTCCAAATTGCTATTAGCATGTCCAAATCCAACGTTGTGGCCTATTGCGCACGGGTCTTCACCAAAGACAAATACACATTTGCATTATAAACGGAGAAAATAACTCAACGTGCGGGATTATATCTATCTAATAAAGACGGAATACTAGGAGTGAATAATATACATTCATGCTTATTGAGAAATAAAATAATGTTGAACGGAGCATATGACCTTTTTTATTTTGCATTTAAGATACAGATATAAAGAAGAGTCTGTTTATATCTGATGAGCACTTACAGCCTTTTTAAAGTATACACCAGGGGCAGTGAGTGTTGGGGCCCAGTTGCGCCCCTATGTCTTGAATTTGCAGCATTCACTGAGGCCAGGCCAACCACATCTCCTCTCCCTGCTCCTCTCAGCCCCTCTCTGCAGCCTGCTCTCTCTGTCTCATTTGACAGGCAAATTTGCAGACATTGCCTCGGGATAACAACCTCGTTTGACAGTCAATTAACCGTGAATAGTCAAAGCCAAGGCAGTTTGCATTACATAAATGGAAAATTAGATTCCTTTTTCCCAAGAAAGCAAACCTCTCTTTAAGACACTGCATTAGACAACTTAGTATCAAAAGTTCTAATCACGTATTTCCCAAACCCCTCGGAGACATTTAGCAATCAGTAAAAGGTGGTTTCATTTAATTTGTATAATGTAATTTTTGTAAATGTATTATACATTTTGTGTAGAGATCATTATCATGGAGATAATATAAATGTTGGCAGTGAAGCCATAAAACACCTTTAATGTCTTTCTGACAGATATAAAAAGCAATAAACTGTGATCCTTTTTAATGGAAGGTTTGTAAGAGAACATTTCAATTATTATCATTTCATGCTTTTGCAGATTCTCTCATTGTATATATTTCTAAAATCCCCTTTTGATGCATCCTCTGCAATTAATAATCCTGTTGCTATTAATGTGTTTCTTTCTCTCTATTTATTTTTTGCTTGCTATATGTTTATTCTCAGTGTAATATCTGCTTTGAGTGGTTTTCATTCTAACCCGTGCTAAACTACTTTGGTTATCCGTTTATTAAGGAGGGGTGTTATCATGGACTAAATTATATCAGCAATGTCTTTACAAATCTTACTACCTCCTATCTGTCTCCAAAATTCACCTCCAGATGGCTCTGAATCTGTGATGTAGAAGTGCATTTCTTTGCTTTTATCTGCAAATACAAAAAACAAAACATAAACGGAATGGGAAAGACTCGGAACGAATATCCATCAGCATTACTTATAAGATGAAGGTATACCATGGGGTGTTACATTAAGTAGGATAAAATAAATTATCTAAGGGGCTAAATCGATAAATTGTGACCAATGCTATTATTATAAAATTATTTGCAAAATTGAAATCAAAAGTTTTTGTTTATATTTAATTTTTAAACATTTTATTTTCTGCAGTTTTTCCCTAAATCTTGCAAATTGTATACCAACTAACAAGTAGCCGTAATATAAAAGTATTTAAGTAGATGGGGTACATTAATCTTTCACTTCCATCCCAGAGTCTTCGTGAAATGGTTTCCAAACTTAATGGTACTTATTCTACTGACCTCAGTAATACAAAACAGTGCTCTTCAACCCTCTCCTCAAGGCACATCTAACAGTCCAGGATTTAGGGATAGCCCGGGTGTGTCTTAGGTGTTTAGACGAAGAAAAAAAAAAACACCTTACCTTAGACAAGGAATAGGCAACCTTCGGCACTCCAGATGTTTTGGACTACACCTCCCATGATGCTTTGCCAGTATTATGGGTATAAGAGCATTATGGGGAATGTAGTCCAAAACATCTGGAGTGCCGAAGGTTGCCTATCCCTTGTCTAAAGTAAGGAGGTGTTTTTTTTTCTTCTTCTAAAAACCTAAGACACACCCGGGCTATCCCTAAATCCTAGACTGTTAGGTGTGCATTGAGGAGAGGGTTGAGGAGCACTGATATAAAAGAACACGTAGAATGTAATAAATCAAACCTGTGATTCTGAAACTACGGTTCTAAAACATCCTCTGTTCAAGGACACCAGCTTAGTTTGCAAAATATAGCCCAAGGTAGCTGAATTGGAAATACTCTACAGTTCAACATAACTGGATATGTTCCCAACTCATCTGTTTTGGTCTTTATTTTGGAAGTAAGCATTCACCTCACCGCCGTGCTTGTATTTAGTGAATCGGCCCCCATGTTTATCAGACACACTTTTTTTAATATGAAAGCAACTGGATTTTTCTGTCCACAACCCTGTTATGGCATTTTTTTTTTACCATACTCTTCTTGGACTACATACGAGATTCCTTAATTTGATGTCACTCTTTTAGCGTGCTCTTACCTCTATTTCACACTGCATTATTACTAACCGACAGTGCCTCTCAGAGATTTAGAGACATCGCGAGACTCAATTTTTCAGAGGAAACCACCAGTTTTTAACTAGGAAACCTCCAGTTATTTAAATGAGCACAGGGATTTGGGATAGAGCACAAGTAACCTTTTTTCTTAGTTTTTTACTGTATGTATTGGGGCCGATGTGTATTATAGTCACTGCTGCCGCCCAGGAGTAGTGGGAGTCTGAGCGCAGGGCTTAATTTTGTATGTTTGCATTTGCATTGCACAGTCATGTTACAGTACTGACACCAATCCCATGTGCTCCCTATTAAGGGTTAATAAGTGAGAATGGGTTTTAGAAAAATACCCCACTCTGTCTCATTAGAGATTTTCCCTTTTAGCTGTAGACAGCAAAGTGAATTGTTAGTGTAGGAATCACCTGAACGGCTTTGCTTTGATGTGGCGGGTGAGCTTACACTTTAATGGTCATTGGACTGATACTAAAAAACATCCACTTATTTAAATGTGCACAAGAATCTGGGTTAGTGCAAACGTACGTTTGTCTTTGTTTTTTGTTGTATGCATTGGGGCTGATGTGCACTGTAGTCATTGCTGCCACCCAGGAGTAGTGGAAGCTTGAGCGCAGGGCTTAATTTTGTATGCTCAATTTTTTGATGCCCTTGATATGTTGGAAAAGTGAAGAAATGTATTATATTTTTACAAAAACTCTGTTATTTTTTTTAAACCCATCCATGACTATGGGTTGAAATCCTGGCAAGTAATCTGCAGTGAATGGGTTAAAGCAGCAAGCCTACTTGTTTCATTCTTGTCTCTGTAGCTCTGTCTATATTTATAATTAAATTTGCCTGAAAATGTTAAAAAGTACAAAACCGAGGACCTCCGTGAAGGTGAATCCCTTGGCCTAATAATTCCACTGCTCTCCTCTGCCTGCCCCTTATATGACCTAGAAATAAATCATATCCTTTCGTTAACCCTTTTACAAGGATGGCAATATATATTCTTTCAAAAACAGAGACACATGTTTTTAAATGTAGAACATCAGCATTATAACACTTGCCAGGACAACGTTAAAACGCTATGGTACGATTTCACCGTTGATAGACAGATATTGCAAATGTCATACCTTGGAATGAGTCTTCTTTGGAAGATAAGCTCAGACTGTCCTCTTTGCTTTTCTGCGTCTATAATAAATGAACAAGGTACACACGTGCATTTTCAACGTAACTTCATTTCAATAAGGGAAAACAGAGGCACAATTTCGTAAATAAAATGCTGCAGTTTCTCTAGAGCAGGTGTAGGCAACCGTTGGCATTCCAGATGTTGTGGACTTCATCCCCCATAATGCTCCCACAGCCATAACGCTGCCAAAGCATCAAGTGAGATGTGGTCCACAAGGTCTGGAGTGTGGAAGGTTGAAAACCCCTATTCTAGATAAAAAGTCATGGATTGCACCGCATACAGTTCTCAATCTGTGAAGTAATCAATATTTATTTATAAAACATTTTACCAGGATGGATACATTGAGATTTCTCTCGTTTTTCATTATGTATAAATGTTTCCCATTTTTATTTAATTTATTCCAATGAAAAGCACTAATATTGTAACACAACTGCTATTTGCACATTGATGTCAATTCCTTAATGACAGGAAAAAGTAGAACTGGTAAAGCTGCTTCAAACTATGATGCTCTTATTTAAAATTATTACTGACTCATTATGGAGAATTATCAAAGTGTCATGATCAGAAAAGAGGAGAAATGTTGTAAAAGAGATACAGTCACAGATGGAATGTTACTGCTGTCTCCTTTGGTTTCCATAGTGATTGCACCAGCTTTACAACTTTCATTCATTTTATTGATCACGTCAGTTTGATAAATCTCCTGTGCTTTGTATAGGAAAAGATGCAACATCAAGACGTTATCTATTTCTTTATATCACAATTATTTGCATTCTATTCTAGTGTTATCAGAATTTTACTGTGAAAATAAAATACAAAAAAAAAAAAATCCCTTCTACTTTTTGGTTCACATGTACATGGGCCTATGCCGATATATTTACATGTACCATGCAAGTTGGGATCAAAAACTAAATTGCCATTAAATTCTAACTTTAGTGACCCCTAGTGTTAGAAATACAATATTTATTTACATATCTCCCCATCACCTGGAACAAATTTCACAAACATGCTACACTGCTTTTCACTTACATTTTTGTCATTTATATACTGCAGATGATATATTTTGTGCAACTAACAACTTTGTAGATATCTGTAGATGTTGATTTTTCTGTGTAAATGCACAGACAAAAATATTTAAAATGTTAATGGTCATCTTTAGAAAATTAAAACCAGAGCCACCTTGAAGCAAAATTATATATATTCTTTATATATATGCAGTCATCATAGAAACCAAAGTAATAATTCTGCTTATTGCACAAACCTTAATACATTACCCTAGTATTGAGAAAACAGAGTGGGCTGTTACATGTATAGGGCAATTCAAACAACCAGCATTTACAGCAGCATAACTTTGGTTTCTATGGGGACTGGTTCAATTTTAGAAAGGTCAGCAGAATTGCTATTCCAAATGGCCGAATAATTGTAACAGTAATTTGTTTTTTATTAAACATAAAAGTATATGTAACTAAACAGGACAAAACCTATTTTCTGTATTCTATTTTTATTATAGAATTCATTTTGCATTTAAGTTATTCCTCTTACGTTTCTTGGGGGCAATGATGCAAGCAAATGTTTGCAAAGGGTTAATTTCTATATAACCGACCACAATTCACTAATAATGATGATAATCATAATAAGATCATATCATAGGCATTGCATTTTGTTTTCTATTCGTATTAGACCCTGAATTATTAAATATGTTATTTTTAACTGGGATCCCCTCTGTATACAGTGGAGTACACAGAATATTAACTCTGTCTCCCTTTCTTTATGAGGTGTATTCACAAGTGCGTACATCTCATGAAGAGAGGGGTTGATTTGCATGTTGAACATTTTTGATCTTTGGGGCATTGTGTTAAAAAGCTAAACACATTGAAGGCTTCGTTCCTGTAGGGCATGATGTTATCTTATTATGCGTACATAAATGATTTAGCCCACAGCTGCATTTAAATAATAATAATTAGCTCTGGAACCTAGAGGACGATATTTACATCTTTGTAGCAAATTTCCTCCAGTGATGTATGACAGGAGCTGGAGTCTTTTGGGGTAGCAGGATGGTTTTCGGTGCTTTCTGTTTTCTCCCCATGTGTATCATTTCTGGGGAAGGGAGATCTGGCTTTGCAAGTTTTGTCAGAGTTGTCTGCCAGGCCTCTGCTTTGGAGAAATTTACTGCTAAGTGTCTCCTCTTCTTCATCATCTTGTTGTTTGTTAGACTCCACATCCACCTCTTGCTCCTCGTCTGTGTCTGAGGATTCACTTTGGTAACTACAACTTGTACCAGGTGAAACATGTCTTTCGGAAGAGAAGTCCTCCACGCTACCATGGAGCTTTGCAATGCTTTCTGAATCTTTAACCACTGGCCTGAAGGCGGAGTGATAGTTCTGTTTCCTGATCGGGAATGGGGGTACATCCAATGTGTTGGACCTGGCTTCAGATGAAGGTCTAATGTCACTGGCCACTGGAGAACTGGAGCATTCGGCCTCATACAAGTTATCACCTGTGTTACTGACAGTGCTCCCATCACTTTGGTCAGACAGCTCCAGAAAGGCCTGTCTCAGTGTAGGGTTCTCTGTGATGGAAGTGAGGGCACTGGGTTGAGGTTGGAGATAGGTTGGGACTGGTAGACCACCAGGAGTTCTTGGAGGCCAGAACATACAAAAAGGGGGGTAAAATGCATCTTTCCTTCCTGGCCAAAATAATCCAGATAATGCACTTGTTTTCTGGCTATTTACAGACTCATTATCATCTTTCTTCTGGCAGAGACCAAATGCAGGGAAGGAATATGGGCTTGGGAATAGGGTACTTGCAGGGAATTTTTGCAGCATGCCAAACCCTTTGCTGGGGACTGGGATGACAGGGTAGCTACGTTGGGTTTTGTTTGTGATGTTGGAAGGCTCAATCTCTTCCTCCTCTTCAAACCGTGGCCTCTTCTGGTTGAGATCCTGACCGATGATGTGTGGCAAGACCCCACTTGAGGCCTTCACAGAAGACAGCGAGTGACAGTGTCCATGAGACAAGGCTCTTTTACGACTCCCTCCATTGAACATGGCTTTCACGTCTTCCCATGCAAATACCATCTCATCTGGAGGACTCTTATCAGTCAACTTCAAGTGTCTTCTCCACGAGTTGAAGTTGGCAGCATCTGGCTGTGTGTATTTTGCCTCTGGGGTACGATGTGAATGGAAGATGAATTTATTCGGCGAAAAGTACATGTTGCAGTAGGTACACTTGATACACTTTGCCCTGGAGCTGTTATACCTGGCTGGGATGAAGCTTCCTCTACAGCCCCAAGCACACTCATGGGTAACATCAAATGCAAAATTGTCTGGAAGTTTAGGGGGCCTGTTCTCCCCCAGAAATGATTTGCACAGTCTTTCAGCCTCCCTCTTTGTTATCATCCCACACCTTCTCGAAGATATGGGCATAGCCCCGGCCCTCCTTAAGATTTCCAACTGTACAGGAGTACACTGCACACAGGTGATGCCTAGTGCCACTCTTCTATTGTGAATCTCATTGTAGCTGTAGTTCTTAAGAAGGGTGTTGGAGATCTGAGCAAGGCACAGCCTCTCCTGTCCATCGATGACAAGAGAGACGATGGGGATGCCATAAAGAATGACCTGGCTGACTTGATTGGGTTTCATACTGGAGTGGTTGGACCTAGACTGTCCTAGAGAGTCCTGCTGGTAGGAGCTGGGGGGAGATGCAAGCAGTAAGTCGTTTGATACTGGCAGGGGGCTAGAAGCCATTTCTAAAGACGCAGACACAAAGCACTTCTTTTGTCTTTCTCACTACTGCAAAAAAGAAAAGATAAATAAAATGAGTTACAGTTTCGTAAGCATTATTCTCCTCTTGGCAAACAGTGAAATGTTTTAAGGAAAAATATGGTTATCACAGCTACCTCAAGAATTCAGTATTGTAATTTAATTTTTAATATAACCAATAAGTTTTTAATTGGTCCACAATTAAAAGAACATTTGTTGAAGAGGGACGGAGAGGGGGAGGAAAAGCTTATGACGTAAAATAATGTTCTAAAAGTAGAGCTTTTAGCAAGAGTACTTAATGGGATGCCAAAGTGTTTGCTCCATTTTTTTTTTAAAACTTTGCATCACAATTGTTATTTATACATAACCTTATCTAATAATGTCACAACCCATGACAAAAAAAAAAAAAGAATGAAAAACATGTAAACAGCACAGGACAAATATATTTTAAATATACTAAATGACTATATAATATATAATGATATGATTTTCAAACACACACACACACACACACACACACTTATGTTTGCAAAGGGTTATTTCTATATAACAGTCCACAATTTACCTAACTTCCATATATAAATAAATCATGTTTTTATTTAATTTCTATTTTATTTTATTTTTAAATGCCATAATAAAAGGTGACTAAATTATTGTATAATCATTAATAACAAAACATATTTTAAATATAAACAGTTGGTGATCTATGTTTTGCTATGGGGTGAAAAAAAAAAGAAGCAAAGGTTCCTAGTTAATGTAACTATTAATTAAAATGCAATTAACCTCCTTGAGCTTGAAGACTGCATGTGTAGCCCATAAATGTTTTTATCACAAGAGGATTAGAACATCCTAGACATCAACGATTAAAGCGGTGTTTGAATCCTGATTTCAGAGATTACAGGACATTGGGGTTTGGGAAGAGGGCGCTCATCTCCTAAGTACCCGCAGTCCCTCATTATAGTAAAGAATTGGATGTAATACTGTCTCAAAACATTAACCTTTTAACCCTGGAAGTGCCAAAGGGGTCTACAGAGCTTAGTTCTACCTCATCCCATCCAAAGGGCCTGCCTTTGGAAAATCCGAGCATAATGAATAATATTTAGTCTAGGAATTTTGCATTACAATAGTTATAAAATTATTACAGGGCCTTGATTATTAATTAGATCATTAGCTTTACAACCTAAATTAGATCATTAGCTTAGCAAAAACTAAATCGTTATTTTTTGCAGGGTGAGAAAAAAAATGTTGGTTTTTTTTTCTGGAAAGAAAATATTTCTAATACGAATTTATTATCACATATATAATATAAACTTGCATAACATAAATTGTTTAATATTAATATTAATTTTACAGTTAGGAAACCTTTTTTTTTTTTGTCATGTTCTGCATTCAGTTAAATAAAAGAAAATTAGAGATAGCACGATATTTTTTTAGCTCTATTTATAAAAATGAATGGAACAATATAGTAAATTATTTGCAATTTTATTTAAAGAAATGAAATGCGTTAAGAGTGTTCCATAAAAAATAATAAAATGTGTAAATCGTTGGGACTTGTGAGATATTTGATACTTTCAAAATAATTGTCTGCTCTATAGAATGAAGGTTTATGCATTTTTATTTACTAAATTGCAATATGGAGACAGTTTCATTTCTATAGAAAAAGTCAAAGAATTACCTGTCGAATATTATTTCATTAAATATTTTAGAACCTAATTACACATGTAAAGCTCTTTGAAATTTTACTTTTTTTTTTTTAAATAAAATTGCAATATCTCTTTTTTTTTTTTAAATATGTAAGAATCAAGATAGGTGTAAATGTTGATATAAAAACAACTTGTTTATTTAGCACCAGAGCAGATATCCGTAAATTATTCTGATACAAAATAATCGTCGTTCTGATTTTTTTTTCTTGTTTAGTTTAATAATAATTTCAAATAAATTCGAAATTTAATATAACATTGTTTTTTTTTTAAATCGTTTTTATTCTTTCAAAAAATCTCAAGTCATTTATTCCCCACTGTAAAAATGTATATATAAAAAATCTTAGTATATTTAAAGTTTTAAGTGAGATGCATCATTTAGCAAAAACCGTGGTACAGTTCAACAATCCCAAAATCTCTCTACAAGCCGAATAGTTAATTGCATTATTGTATTCTCCTCACTAGTGCATTAGACACAATGTATAGTTAAAGGATTACACTTGTTACACATTTATTGCCTGGAAACAGAATCTCTGAGCCATATTACTGTGCAGCAGCCATTGATAACCTTGTCCCAAGAGAAGCTGTGGAACTCCTTTCCAATAATGCTCAGCCACCCTATAGAATATTGGCTGTCTAAGCATCATGGGAATTGTAGTTGACAGCTATCGCCTCTCCAGTGTCAATATTAGAAAGTTAACCATTCCTATTGCCAGAATGCTAAAATCATCACAATCAATTTCACCAACTTTGTCCAAATGTTCTTCACCTTTTGGAACCATCCAATCACCCATGCGCCCTCCTGGTAACCCAGTTTGTATCCACAAAACATGCTAAGCATTGTAGACACAGGGGACTGCACATTGCAAGACGATGAAAGAGTTAAATATCAAACACAACATTTAGAATGACTTTGTCCCAGCAAGTTGTGAATGACAAACAGACAGGATGAGAAATAACAGCAAATTGAAGTGTGTTCAGAAAATGACTAGTCACAGATTCTATTTCATTCCCAGTGTTTTTTGGAAGGGAAAACAAGGCAAAGGGAGACACCTACTAGTAAGGATGATGTATCTCACGGAGAGAGTCTGCTCATGGTGGGATTGGAGAAGTGGAGAGATCTTAGATGCTTAGTCTCATCCTGAGAGATTTAGGGTGGGTTATCTCACATCCAGGATTTCCTCAGTATTAAGGAGTGAAAGCAGGCCAGGGTGTTGCATGCAGAGAGCTGATCGGTTTTCAGATATCCCAGGTGAAAGTGTGCATTCAGCATCACATCCACTGCAGACTCCCTACTCCTTCCAAGTGCTGCCTATCATCTACCGCTGGACCATCAGCTGACGTCATCCCCTCCCAATTAACCCCTTCCACTCAGGGAGTCCCCTTGGGGGCAATGCGTTCATGACATTTCTAGGCTTCCAGGAGCTTTTTCAAATGTCAGAACTGTCCAAGAGAGGGAAAATAAATCGTTTTAAAGATCAAATAATCCTAAAAGAGTGAAAGATTATCTGCTTGATATCTAAGACATTTAACCAGCTCGCAACACCCAGGGATTATATAGGATGGCACAGGGATACTTAGGGATGCTGAGAATGTATTATAGGAATTATTAAAATTATTACAAAATATAGCATGCTGTAAACATTATATTTTATAATTTATTTCGGAGTAAATCTACTGACTGCTAGTATTCAAGCCGGCAGACAATCTGTAAATATAATTATTTAATTGTTATTATTATTATTAATATTATTATTATTATTATTATTTAGAATGTAAAAGGCTAAAATAAGTGTTACATTTTCTAAATTGTGATGAACTACCTAATGGGATGAATATATAGACACACACACACACACACACACACACACACACACACAAATAATAATAATGTCTGTCTGTCTATCTATCTATCTATCTATCTAGCTGTCTGTCTCTGTCTGTCTGTCTGTCTCTGTCTGTCTGTCTATCTGTCAATATATCTATCTATTCTTTTTTCCTGCCAGATTGTTTCCCAATACAATGACAATAAGGCATATAATATAATTTAGCATAAATATAGCTGGTTATCAATTCACTATGGGGGTTGAATGACACAATTACAAGCATTGGGTACAAACCTTTTTAGCACATTAAGGATTCACCTCCCCCTAATAATATTGTCCCCCCGATCCTGTGCGTTTTACATGGAATCCTGTGACTACATTGAGAGTACTGTGTGCTCTGGCTGCAAAGGCCTTACATTCTGATGAATGTATCACACAGGGTATCGAGAGGACTTTACCAATAAAATCACAGTGGCTGCTCCAGTGAGCCAGGGTCCCCCTGCTTAGGGACACTTTGTACCCACTGAGCACGTGACATGGATGTCACCAAACAGAAATGGATACAAGTACAGGTCACTTACTGCTAACCTGGCACTGCTCAAACTAACCTTAAAATCTGTTTCTACTTAGTATTTGCTCTTAAAGCAGCCCATAGCAGTCTCACCGCTGGATGTATCAAGTGGAGATTGTTATTGCGAAAAATCGTATTCCTAGACTAACAGATTAGATAAATCTACATTAAAATGTGTAAATAAAATGACAATCCCCCCACCCCCACCACACACACACTCAGAATAACACACATACACACACAAACACACTCATAGTCACACACATACACACACTCATAGTCACACACATACACATACATGCAAATTCACATGTGTATAAAAGATCATATCTTCACATATGTACACTACATAAAATAACACAGAAACATATACACAACCAGGCATGCTATCATTAAAATCATTGCACACATGTACTGATTATCCCACAGGTGTATGCAATGTCATATGTGTATAAAGGAAATGACCAATAAATGCACACACACATACTCACACTCATGTAAGTAAACCCCACAGAAAAAATGTTCACACAAATGTCCCCTGTATCACTCTGGTAGAAATGTAATTATCAGGTTTTAATAAATACAAACAAGTGTACACAAATTGACCCATATTTATACACATATTACACACATAAACACAGACACATATTTCTGCTTACACATCCACATACAGAAATATGCAAATACACTACGTTGTACTCTCTTGGGACTTATATAATGTTCAAAATTGAGTGCCCCATGTTGAATAAAAATAAAACTAACGATAAACATAAAAACTATTATGCTGTGATTGTAAAAAGCATTAATTCAGCCTCATTCACCCACTGCTATATTAATTCTACATATGATGACATAGTCACATCTTTGCACAAGAGGAATTAAAGATTAGACAAATCCTGAAAATGTGATATTCTGGATACATATTAACCAGTCTAAGGTGACCTCATATAAAAACTGATATCAACTTTATTCAAATAAATGGCATTTCAAAAGAACTGAATGCACTGCTGTTTGCTGGTTGCTGGTGCAGTGTGATAGTGAATATATAACACAGGTATACTATGTAATGTGTATATACAGAGATGGAATCTGTGTGTTTTATGATAAAGATCCTGGACCCAAAACATTTCTCATCACCCCACCAAATAGTGATCTATCATGATCTACATATTCATTGGATACAATTAGATCCATACTTGGAGTGAACACTCGCTAATGCACCATACTCATCTTAAATGCCTTGATATTGGGGTCACTTCTGAAAGATAACATGCAGGGATATTCAACTTTCCACATATCGCTGTTTAGTGAATACACTTCTAATTATTTAAAACAAGAGTTTATAATAAAGTGTGAATTGTCGGGGATTCACAGACAATGCAATGCTTATTACATTAAGGTTTAAAGGTTTAAAATGTGAAATTTATTTTGAATTACAAATCAACATTTTAATAAATAAGGCTGTACGAAAAAAAAAAAAAAAACAGGAGCGTATTCACTAAACAGCGAGATGTGGCGAAGTGACAACCAAAAAAACAAAAACAAAAACAAATTTAATTTAGCTAAACTCGGCTAGATTTATCTATATTCTGCAAATAATCTGCCAGCACTTCTGCTAATATTAATAATACAATTATCCTTCTTTTCTAGATATAAATATATTTTAAACACAAAAATGCAATTTTAAAAATGTGTAAAAAATAAAAAAAAATGAATAAATAAAATTAAATTATGAATTGGAAAAAAAATATGTTTAATTAGCAATGTTTGCAGTTTCGATATTTTGGCATTTAATGTTACCGGTATATAATATTTAGCGAATAACACTGACAATTTTGCAGATCAATTAAACCGGGAATGAGACTTTTTGGCCGAAGTGGAACGAATAACAGTGAATATCGAATTGCAAACTGTAGGCTAAAATAGCAAAGTTGCAAAAATTCTTCAATCCAGTCATTTTGTCATTCAGCCTATATATTGCCAGGTCTTCAGAATGCCTGGCTTAGTAATTAACACTATTTAGGTGATCGCTTGTCACTGAACACAGAGTTGCAGAGTAATTAGGAGGAGAAAATCAACTTAGCGTCTCTGGCGCAAAGTTTCGGGAGTGGATCAGTTGCCATGGAAACCAAGAGAATGTTGCTTCTGATTGCGCCACATTTTGAATTTAGCTCCTAAATTTTTCTTTATCTAGAATGTCCACAATCAATTAAATTAAACGTATTTATCTGTGTTTGTTCCGGTTAGAACGTATTAAAATATGTTAAAAATATGTTCTCATTCCACCTAATGGGAAGCAAGACGCAAATCTATATTCCATCCATGGAGATAATTTGGGACAGGGTTTGGAGGTCAGAGATACATTGTATGTAGAAGTGTACCCCATGCAATCCTAAAATTGCAATAAAACAATATTAGAATGACTGCCTGCAGTAACTCTTTCACAGCCAGAAACCTGCTGTTTTACTTCAATATTAATTAGAATTAGCTCAAAACTACAAGGGCTCAATAATGCTCCTGGCACTGAGCAGGTTAAGTGACCCTGTAAAAGTGACAATTAAAACCACATTAACTGTCATAGGTTTATTTAAATTGTATTCTGACCCTACCAATATAATAATACTCCCCACCTTTTTGCTAAGTGTGTGTGTGTTGGGGAGCGGGGGGGGGGGGGGGGGGGGGGGGGGGGGGGGGGGGGGGGGGGGGGGTTAGTGGGGGGCAGGAATGGAAATGGTCCCATCTGGAGAAAGATGCAACTCATTTGATCTATCACTTCAGGCTTTGTCTATCCTCTGGAATAACCCAACCTACATAACAAAAGGAGAGATTCGTATAGTTAGTGCACACAGAGCCACAAGGCCTGGCTTCCAAAATGATCTTTTTTAACCCTTTGCATCAACAGAGAGGATGTTCTGCAATTCTGCAATGAGCTACATCTATGCCGGCGTGTAAACGGTTAATCCCAGTGCTGCTGCAGGAAAAAAAGCTAACTTTTAGTTTAGAATCTAGAATACATGTTCTAGATTCTAGAACGCTGGCTTCTTATAATAACATTCACGATTAATGAGCAAAAAGTACATTTAACACAATGAATGTCATAGGCGCCAGGAACTATTTACTATTTTACCAACATGTATTTGTATTATTATTGAATATAATAATACTCTAGTTTTTTTTATTTATTTTTTTATTAACAATTTACTTATGTTTTGAATGTATTTTAGAATTATTTTGCGACTTTAAAGTTACCTGGAAATACCAGAAAGCAGAGATGTTATAACATTTTGAATTATTAAAACAAATATTTTTTTATTTCCTTGATAATCATTAACTGGAGAACACATTGACACAAACACATTGATATATACATATAATGAACACTTTTTTAAAATCATTTTTTAAAAATAATGTTCATATTGACATTACAGCAAAATAAGAGTGGTGTATGTATATATATATATATTTATATATAATTGTTTTTATTAATATGTATATACACACACACACACACATTATTAATAAAAAAAATAATTAATAATTTAAATAAAGAGCATGGTGTTCATTATTACAGCAATAAAAGTATTATTCTTATAACAGATTTTGGAAATCACGCTTATAAATTGAAATTCACCAGTGATACTTAATTAAAAAATACCCAAAATTAGAAACGATAAAGTAGTTTTTTTTTTTTTGTGTTTAGGATCTGCAGCCAACACTTCGGTACA